TTAAAATTTTCCTGCATCCCTTTAAAAAAAATACCTTCTCTTCATTATCTATTCTGATTATTCTCTGATTCACGACCCTATAATTATCTCTCTATTCCTCATACAATAAACTTTCAAGGTATCCATTCTAGGATCTTCTCTCAAGGAAGTTTCTGCCACTGCCTTGTAGTTTGTCCAATACATTCCATTTTTTACATTTGCCTCACTCCCAAAACAATGCTGGTAATTGTAAGAGTCAAAGAGGACACTGCTCTATGGTAAAGCCCTTCCCCCACAACATCCTTAAGTATGCAGCCAACCACTGATCCATGCCTGGTTATCTTTTTTCCTCATTTACCTCAAAATCTATCTCCCGCCCCCCACCCCATGTCCATACCCTCCTACTTCCCCAGGTGGCAGCTGCCCTCCTTACCCTCCAGAGTTCCAACTCCCCCCTTCTGAGGTAGAACGACTGGATTTTTCAAGCACCAAATACCCTGGACCACTCCCTGTGCAAGGAACCTATCTCCCTTCACATATCATCTCTCTTCAACCATAAGATCATTCATTAGTGGATTCCCCTTCCATCAAAACAGTCTTCCTTCCTTCCTTCTTTTAATACCTTCCTTCTCCTTCCCCTCCCCGAAGGCTCTTGCCTTATTGAGACCACAAGGGTCACCTCCCCCTCACTGCTAGCCTTTGAACTGGGGACATCACACATTCCTCTTTGTCCTCCTGCTCCCCTCTCCACTTTCAAGTACACTCCCATGTTGTAATATATTCCTAAAAAATACTGATCGGCCTGTAAGCTAGGTGTCAATTGTTTCTGTCTATAATGCCCCAGGTCTCCCTTTTTACTGTTACTTTCACCAGATTTCTGCCTTCACCCACGTCTTCTTGCATAAATCTGGAAAAGTCTCTTATTGATTCTGCTGTCACCCTGACAATATTGCTGTCCTTAGCTGCTGCTTTTATTCACTTCTCTTGCATTTGTTGTTTGAGGCATTCAAGAACCAAATAATTTCTTCAGGTCAGTTTTCTTTCTAAAATGTTTCAAATATTTCTTATTGTTTAACATCGATCCTTCCCCCCCCCCCCAATTTATGGTTGAGCTTATATTTGCAGGGTAAGTCACACTGAATCACATCCTGAGCTGCATTGCTCTTCAGAACACATTATTATACCACTCCCCTCTGTGTTTTCTGATGGGTACAGAATAGAATAATCTTGTACTTCTTTTCTTGAACTTCTTTTCCTTTGTATTTGATGATCTTTCTCCTGAACACTTGCAGAATGTGTTATTTCTGAAATGAACTGTTAAATTTGACCACTCTGTGTCTTAAGAGTTTGCAGGCTGAGAATTTAAAAAACAAAAACAAAACCTGGAGATGTTCTTAACATTCTTCCAATTGGCCTACTTTTTTTTTCTATGTTTGGTTCTGGAGAACTGTCTTCTATTATTTCCTGCATTATGGTGTTGAACTTTTTTCATCCTGTCTTGTTCTGGGAGACTTCTGGTTGTCTCTATACTTCCTGTCTTCATGATCAGCATGTTTGGTCGCACAGTGAGCTTATCTCCCTTTAATGCTGTTTTTGCTTCTCTTCTTCTGAACTGTCCTTCACTTTTGGACATTCCCTATGATTCTCTTTTGTTTCTTTGGTGAGACTTGCCGATGCCGATGTTGCCCTATTCTTCCCATTATTTTTGCTGTGCAGGCCATAAATTCTGCTTCCATATTCTTCAGCTTTCTTTTGTACTCAGAACAGCACGCTCTGGTTTTATGTTCTCCTCAAACTTCAGAGTCCTCTCTTCATCAAATGTCAGAACACTTTCCTTTGTTTCACAGTATACACGGATGCTGGAACTCATTTCCTGGACCTGGAGTCCATATTTTTTTTCTGCTGTTAATGATTTCCTTGTTGATTTATCTGAGTATCAAGGTGCCATCTTCTCATTTTCATTTATCTCAGGTTTCTACTTCCTGCTCACTATTTTTGTTCTACATTTCCCAGTCCAAACATCATACTACTTGGAAAAGACAACAGAATTTGAAAAGTCGAGTGGTTCAGCCTTGTAACCAGCATCCTTACCTCCTAAGCAGCAAACCTTTGATTCTCTTTTTGCCTTTTTTCCCAATCCATATTGTCATCTTTAAAATTCCATCAAAAGCCTTAGCTTACTCTAGACTTAAGTATTCCTGACATAATTCTCTGAGGACCATGCTACAATTTTATATTCATCCTCAATTATTTGCCTTCACTTTCATTCTGTGCACATTTTTTAAAAATACTCACTTTTAAGTCCTTGCTATTCATTTATCAGAATCCTTGCATAGTCTCAGGGAGTTTCATTTTTCCCTTCTGAAAGGAATAATTTGAATGCTTTCAGAATCTCATTCGTAAAAGCTTCCTATCAGGGACAGCTAGGTGGTGCAGTGGATAGAGCACAGGTCCTGGATTCAGTAGGACCTGAGTTCAAATCCGCCTTAGACACATAACTCTTACTAGCTGTGTGACCCTGGGCAAGTTACTTAACCCCCACTGCCCAACCAAAAAAAAAGCTTCCTATCCCCTTTGGGATACATTCCACTTCAAAATATTAGACTATAAGAGGTCATTTTTTCTTTCTTCAGATACTTGGAAATCTGCCCAAATGACGCACAACTTTGCCTGTCTGCTCTACCAAGAAATATATGGGTGGTCATTTGTTGTCAAGATTTCTGTTGTCTCCTTTTGGCAATGATTTCTTTCTTGTTGGTCAGAAGCTCCAAATAAGCTTGCTTTCCTTCTTTCTCTAGTCCACCAGCTTCCAAAATAACCTTCCTAGAGTACAAGTTTGTCTGTATCACTCTCTGGCTCAAAAACCATCAGGGCCTGGTTAGACCAACCACTTCTAAGACCTCCACACCTTGGCCTGGCATTTAAGTACCCCACAGTCCATAACCAACATGTCTTTCCAGCTTTATTTCATAGTGTTTCCTTTTGTGTTCTTTCAAAATCAAGAGATTTTTTATTGATATATTATACCACCACCTACATTTCCCCTTTGTTTGCTTCCTCCCAAGGAGTTATCCCATGTAAGAACTCAAAAAGAGGAAAAAATCCTCAGCAAATCCAATCATTCTGAGAAATTCTGACGTTCTATGCAATGTTCTACAGAAATAATATAGCTAATATGTGGATCTCCAACTCCGCAAAGGAATGGAACACGTATCTTCCTTTCTGTCCCATTTATTAGCTTTTTAAACTATGTGCAAATCACAAATCTCTAAGCCTCACTAATCATACAAGGTTGTGGGAATCAATTGAGAAAGAATGTATGTGAAACTGTGCAAACCTTAAAGCATCAAATTATGTCTGTTACTGGTGCTCTCTTCCTATTCAAATGATCTTGAATTACTTGTGCACCTGTTATATCACAGAGTTTCAGCTTTAAAAGGGGCCTCTGTCCCCACCAAGTCCAACAGAAACATAAAAAGGATCGTTCTGCAATATATTTGAAAAACAAAGGGTCTACCAACCTTTGCTTAATGGCTTCAAGTAAGGGGGTACCTGCCAACCTTCTGGGTGACAGCCTGTTTCATTTTTGAATAGCTCTAAATATCAGGAAACTTCTTTATAAAGTCCAAATACGTTTGCTTGCAACTTCTCTCCACTCCCCCATCCCTACACTTTGCTCACCTAGTGAAGTAGCTGTTGCATGTAGGAGACCCTTACTGTGGGCTGAAGAGACCTAGCTCTAGACTGATGATCTTTATTAATTTTATGTATATAAACACATACATGTACATGCATGTGTGTATATGCATGTGGGCACACACAGAGTACTTGTAAGTACTTGTCTCAAACATTGAATACAAGTTCATTGCAGTAGGGGTTGCTTCATTCTTGGTATTTGTATCTGCAGTTTTAGCACAGAGCCTGCGGCACAGAACGTGCATAATAAATACTTGTTAATGGACTGATTCCTTAGCACTATCCTAGGCCCTCTAAAAGATACCTGAGACTTGGCCTTGGCCCCAAGGAGTTTACAGTCCAACAGGGAAAATAAAATACATCCACAAATCTCTCTCAATGTATTGAGTGTTATCACACAGTAATTCTAGCTCCTAACAATTCCCTTGGGTCAGGTTCATATACCACACGTTTCTCATGGTTGTAACTATATTTTTTAAACCAAAGATCAGGACACATATGATAGAGAATATTCCTTTTGCAAAGTTCTTTGGAAAACATATTTTCTCTGCTTAAAGGCAGGACTATTCTGGAAAACATGGGACCTACATACCTGTGTGGTCAGCACACCTTCAGTTCTATAGGAGGATCACATGGTTCCACGCAAATTGGTGCTCTGGATTGGTTCACACACACACATCAACCATACCCTAAAAAATAAAACCCAACCACACTCTCTTCTCCCCATGAGCCCCACATTCTCCTTCTATACATTGTAGCTTCCCAAGCTGAGTATGAGGACCCTCTTGTGAAGAGAACAAGTCTGGCCAGTCTCTGGAACCTCAACGAGGCCTCTATGGAGTTACTCCTTCCTCTTCAATCCCTCTGCCAAATTCTGACAATAGGTAAAATCCCTTTTACTTTTAAATTATTTATTTTTAAAGCACAATCTTTTTGCCAGTTTAGTTCTCTGGTGAAGGAAAACTTCTCAAAAGTGAAAACTTACCAGGAAAGATCACTTCTCCCTCTGGCAAATTTGTTCTGCCAGATTTTTTTTAAACTGGGTCATTTCTGGCAAAAAAGAACAAGAAAAAGTTGGAAAAGCTTGCTTTAGGCATGTGTTTGTTTTTCTTCCTAGATCCTCCTGCAAAATGTCTCAAAAGGGGACTTCAGCGTTTCAGCCATTGGAATTACTGACTATTCTCTTGTTAGGAACTTAAATTGAATTACATTAAAAAAAAAAGTCATGATGATGGAAAATGGAAAACCACCACAGTAAAGCTATTTGCACCTGTCTGTCTCTTTTAAAAAACTAAAAGGACCACCCTTCAGGGTCAAACAAGCCATCACAACTAATAAAAGAAAATTTATTGTAGCCATACATGTTACACATCATCATACAAATACACTGGGAATCTTAACATACAAGGAGATCTTTTAATGTTTAATGTTTCCTTTGCTGAAAAGCTTTTTATTATGGTCTTCCACTCAGTGCAAGAACTTGCTTTCCTTTGGGTCAGCCACGGACCAACTGCACCCTTTCCCCCCAGATCTTAGATTTGAAAGATTCTAGAGAAAACTTTCTTTTTAATCCAAACATGTGCCTGCTATTCTCAAATGCTCTGGGGGTTCACTTAACTGTTAAAACACTCCAAGTGTTTGCAAGTTAAATGACTGGTATTTGTGTTCTGAGCACGCCATGCACTGCACCGAACAGCTTTCTCCTCTTTCCCAGATGGATGAATCTCATGTTCCAGCAAGACTGTTATGATCCAATGGGCCCCTCACTTAATTCTCCCTCTGGGACATACCTCACCTTCCCTTGACTCAGAACACCAGCCTGGGTTGTCTGGATGAGCCCTAAGGTTCTGACCACATGAGATGCCCAGGGCTCCGAGTTTTCCTCCAGGGTCTATGCTGACCGGTTCCTGTTGACGGCTATCAGATGCCTCTTGGTTCTGCACCACAGATGGATGGTGGGAGGAGATCCACTAATCTGATGCCTTCCACGTGCCCTGGGCACCAGGCCAGGGATGCTGCTGAATAAAAGCACTTCTCTGTCTGCTTGTCTTCCTTGGGCTTTGCTCTTCCCATCGTCTGTGTGTTTTGATGCCTCCGCTCACAGCTGAGGGGCTTTCTTTGTCTTCCTCCACTGAACAAACACATACAGGTATATCTTTGCATTGTTTCTTTTTTCTGGGAAGTGAGCTCCCCAGCAGATCTGTCTGAACAGGTCTGAGAGCTCACTTAATCAAAGACTATTACAGATGGAGGGGGACCATAACGTCTACTTCAGTCTCCCCAACCAATGCAGGAATCCTTTCCATTTGGCCTTCATTGGGAGTTTTTCCTAAGAATAAACAACTTTCAAGCAAGTCCATCGGCACGTACCACACTACAGACAGCTGCCTGTAGACAAGGTGCACACGGCAAAGGAGCAAGCCCCTGACTGCATGCAAGGGAGCCGGCTGAGGCACCCCACACACGGTGATCAGAGTGGCTTCTGCCTTCTCCTCAGGCCCAAAGTTTCTGGCTGCTGTTAAGCCCCAACCAGTTAAGTGCATGATTGGAACATTCAAGCTTCTTCCCGCCCATGCGCCAGAGTCTTTCCGGGCCAGGCCACACAGTGGGTAGCCAGCGAGCTGTGCTTCTTCCCGGCGGGTCCGTTCCCTCCCACAGATCTGATTGCTGCAGTCGGTCACACTCAGCTCAGGGCCCCAACAACCACTTGGGGAGGTCCTGGCAGGGCAGCTGTCTCTCCGCAACAAGGCAGGTCAACGCTGCCACCGTCACTGTCACCTCCACCACAGCTTCCCACGTGTCACTTCTGGGACAATTCTTCTTGCAAGACAAGAGGGGGAGCTGCCAGTAACCCCAGAGCCCACAGGTGGTGCTGAGTGTGCAAGCAGACTCCCTGAACAAGCCTTGGAGGCTCCCAGGAGGTGCGGTGGAAATCAATCAGGGCCGTCCTAAGATAGGCGGATTCACTTCCACCCATCCCAGCTTTGGGGCTCCCTTACCCTGGAGTCTTCAGATGGACCAATTACATCCAAGTGGAAAGAGCACGCTGACCCACTCCCTATTTCACTTAATGGCTGGTGAAGAGCATGGACCCCGGGACTTGGGTTGTGGTCAGCTCACATGCTTTGGCTGAGTCTTCATCTCATACTACTTTTCTGGGGGCCTTTTGAGTTCACTGCTCCTTACTTAATACTCCCATATGTTTGTTAGTGAGAAAATCAAGAAAGGGAATATTGCAGATGGCCTGGTGAATATTCATCACTGTAATTTCTCTTGGAGTCCTGTACCAAATGAATGAGAGGATATTATAAGGAATAACTGACCCAAGTAACTCATGAACCGAATCAATGAATTTCTCAATGGAAGATGTCATCAGCCCATGTCCTCCACACCAAAGGGCTATTAGGATAACTGCAGGGAAAGTCCCAGCAATATCTGGGGAACCAGATGGGGAACTCTGGGGATTTACTGCCACCCTCCCCTGGAGGAGGAAGGAGCTCCCGAAGGTGCTCAGCTGTGAGCAAGAGCCCCTCTTTGGCCCGCTCAACCTTAGTTATTAATCCCCAGATGACTGAGGATAATTTGTGATGGCCCCTTGCTGAGGGGGACAAAGTCCTCCGAAAGAGGGCTAGGAAGGGGGGACTGGACCCCAACCAGCCATTTCTCCAACCACACACTGCAAACACAGAAGGGGGCTGGGTATGCCCCTTAACCTTAAGTGGCTGGTTAGAACCCCTTCATGGTGGTGTGCAGGTGTTTTCTATCTCAATGAACATCCTAACATCCTATTCAGCTGCTTTATTTCCATGTCTGACATCACTGCCAGAGATGACAAGGTCTCACCTGCTGTGAGATGCTGTCTGGTACCCAACAGCCAGAGCCTGTCTCAGGATGTCACTCACTAGTTGCTCAGTCGCCTGTAACAGAAGAATCCATTATTTTTCATCCTGACCACCACTTGTGGGAATCCAGCGCCCTGTGCTACGACCCCTCCTCCAGAACTTCTGGAACAACTAAGCCTGAAGACCACAAAGTTACCAACGGTCTGAACTCTGGATCAACAAAATGCAATAATTTCATGATTCTTGAAAATGATGCAGCAGGATGATTTTTTGGCAAATTAGCAATTTTCTCGGAACAAATTACATATGATTATAGATAATATATATGTACAGGTATATGTATGTATAAATATACATATGTACATATAAGTATATGTGTGTATGTATATATTTTGTGTACTGGAATACTAGATGGATTAGATTTTAAAATGAAAAGACAAACCAGTGGAAAAAAATTCTAATTTGCTTATCAAGAGGCAACCACAGTCATATTCATTATAATCTGAAACGAAAAATATACATAACTGGAAGCCATTAATCAACAAAATGGAAACCAAGAATTTAACAGATCCCCAGATCCAAATTGACAGCACCCGAGATGCAGAGAAATAGAGCAAATTACCAAAATGTGGGGTGGAAATCTATAAAATGAGTGAAACATTTTCTCATCCAAGAGAGGAAAAGTGCCAGGGTAAGAAGAAATAAAACATGAGATTCTACCGTCTCTAAGGAGGAAGGTGCCCAAGATGCTCAGCCTCCCAGCAAGTGGGCTGGCATTTAAGATGGGGACAAAAGCCCCGCATAGATCCTGTCGTTAGAAAGGAGTCCAACGGTCAGGTCTGGGGTATGGCAAGACTAGTTGCAAATGCTGAGGAAAGTTTCTGGAAGAGGATGGGGAAACCCTTGCTGGGAGGGTACAAGCTCCCAGCCGCTGAGCTTTGGATTCCTGAAGGGCCAGAAGTGGGTGGTCTTTATTAGGAAAACCCACTGAGAAACCATGCAAAAAACCGTCCATGGAGAAGAGAAAAAGGGGGCGCCTGTGCTAAGGTGTGTGCAATATTCCCTCACAGTTCCAAAATTGGAGTCCATGACAGAGAGGGACTTTCTGGGATAAGCAGATCTGAAGGACGACTGAGGAAATGAAGTTTGGAAGGGGCCTACTCCAAGTGGACACTAGATTCACAGCATGGACAGCTTAGCTTAGCTGGGCTTCTGCTTGCCCACCTAGGTGAGACTTCGAAGCCAGGCCTCAGCTTCTGGACAGCGGCCCCCTCCTACATGTTTGAGTAACAGTAACAATAATAACGACAATAACAACAATGAACATTTATGTAAGCATTTCACAATTATCACTTCATTGGATCCTCACAACCACCCTGGGAGGGATGGGGCCATCAATGTTTGAAGGATACCCAAAGAAAGGCGTGCTTGGCCTGGGGTCAGGTCAGCTGTGGGAGCCTGCGTGTCCTTTCTCTCTTTGTCCTGGGGTCTTGCTGTGACATCTAGTAACGAATCGTCTCTGACTGTTGTGTGGGAACTCTGTGACAAGCTGTTTGTCTAACAGCCCCAACCTTAGTCTCATAACAATGTTGTTTCCATTACATTTGCTTTTATACCGCCTTCAGGTAAATGTTAATGTAGGAAATAACTATGTATATATGTAACTAAACATAATGAACTAAATTCCTAGTCTGGACCTCCTTAAAGAATGTTTTAAATGGAACTTAACGAAGACTTTCACTAGCTGTGAGACTGTGGGCAGGTCACTTAACCCCAACTGCCTCACCAAAATAAATAAAAAATAAAAATAAAGGCAGTGTTAGGCAGCTTTTGGGGTGCCCCAATCTTGGCTAATCTGTGACTAGCATAGGAACACAAATGTTATATAAACAACGGGAGGGAACCTGTCCCACAGACACCACCCTGTCTGCCAGCTACATCGGAGTGAACTAAGTGAGAAAGAATGGGAGATGGACAACCAAAGAGGGTGGGACCTCCTGCCCTGCACCCAGTGAGCTTCCTCATCCCCTTTTAGTTCTGGACCCTGAAGGCTTCCTTCCAGGACATTCCATGCCCACCTTTAGAATCATATCTTCAACAACAGATGCGTAGGTGTTCTTGTGAAGTTCCACAGGCTGGAGGGTGATTCCAATCTGAGAAGAGAGAAAAAGAACCTCATCCATTGTAATGTAAACAATGTTCTCATTCCAAAGGAAACACAGCAGAGTGGAGGGAATCCTTCAAGAGTACTTCAATTAAAATCAATGGGAAAATTAATACAGAAAAACATATGGATTTTCCCCTATGTTTCAGTTTAATCTAGGACAAGTTAAAGTTTGGCTCTCCATACTGTTGGTGTCCTGGCCACCACCTGAAACTTGGGGCGCTTCCCTGGAATCCATCCCGGGCTCTCACAGATGAGCCTCTGTCTATGTCACTCAGAACCAAGTCTTCACCCGGCCGTTTCCCAGGTCCCTTCTAAGTGTGCTCTTCCCTCAATGGGAATGCAAATTTCTTGCAGGCAGGTTTAGCCCAGAGGCTATCACACAAAGTGCTTAATGATGCTCTCTAACTCTAAAGGTCACAATCTTGTACCCTTCAGGGAATGAATACACCTCAAGTCAGACAGTGGCCCCTGACCCTTTGGAAGCCCTGGAATCAAATTCAGTGGCGCCTCAATGGCCAAGAGTGAGAGAGCCAATTCTGACCCTTGCGTTTTGTCTCTACTTTCCAGAACTCTCTGGACTGTAGGCGCTATCAGCACAGGGAGGGGATGCTGAGAAGCTGCTTCTCCCCCTGGTCAGTCAGTCTCTAGAAGACTGGACACGAGTCAGAGGAAGCATCTCCTCTCCTCCTCCTCCTCCTTCTACCTTTTGCGCCGTGTCACTGACAAACTCGGATGCAGGCGTGGCTTCCAAACAGAACTTCAAGCCAGCTCGCTTCTCTTCCCTCTCTTTCTTGACGTTTGCTTTCAGGGGCTCAGTGACAGTCAGAACATCCACCTCCTCATCGTTCTCTGGCTCTCTTTTCTGACACTGCTGGAGGTCTTCCAGTCTCCGGCAGAGATCATCAGCGGTGGTGAAGGAGGATGGACACTCTAAATGAGAAGTCAGGAGTCTTATGATGGAGCAACAAGAGGAAAGTGTCTTTGACATATTCATCCCCAATCCTCTAAGAGCTAAGAAAGTCAGGGCAAGAGCCGAGGGAATTTAAGAAGCATGGACTAGGAGGGCTGAGCTAGAAGACCTCTCTGGTCCCTTCTAGCTTTCAATAAATGCTATGAATGGAAGAGGAGAAAAGTCTCTAAATCTCCTCTATGAAGCACAGACCAACAATCTTTGCTCAGATGGATTATATGCAATTCAGAACTGGGCTGCCAATAATGGGGCCAAAAAAATTCAAATGCCACTGGTTTTCCCATGCTGACTTACACAGCGCCTTAAAATTAATCACGGAGCTGGAAAGACACCTGGAGATCCAATCCTCTAGTCCAATCCTCTCATGCCCTCATAGAGAAGAAAATTAAGATCAGACAGATGGAATGACTTGTCCCAAGTTTTGTCGACTGACAGCCAGCTCAGAGAGCTTTTGCTATAGTACAATGCAAAAATCAATTAAATCTATTTAGTCTTTACTCTCTGTTAGGCACTATGGAGACTGTAAAGAAGTGTAAGACACGGCCCATAATTTTAAGAAGCTTATAATCATTATGACTGGAAGACTGCTACATGCAAAAAAAGGTAAAACAAAGCAGTACATGACAGGGATTAAGTGGCAGAAATGATGGTGAATGGCAGAGATGGTGTACAGCGCAGAATCTGAAAGGAGGAAAGGATTTTATGGACTCGAGTGATCCAAAAAGGCTTTGGATTAAACCAAGTCTGGAGGGACAGGCAGGAGAAATGGGAGAGATCTTCCAAGGACAAAAAACAGTATGAGATGGGGACACAAAAAGGGAAGAATGCAGCACGTTTGGGAGCATTTCTGTGGGGAAGTGAGAGAGCCAACCAGGAAGCCAAGCAGAGGACAGACAGGTCGGGGTGAGCTCTGAATGCCTGCTCCGACTTAAATTCTGCAGTCCACGGTGAAATACTGAAGCCCTGTGAGCAGGGATAATTGTGAAAGGGAGACTTCAGCAAAGTCACCTGATGGGGCCATGCGAGATGAGGCAAGGGACAGGGTGTGGACTTGTAATTCCAGAAGCCGGGGTTCCGGGTGGCTATGACAATGAGAACAAAGGACACGGGTAGGGAAAGACACTTTCTCTGTTAGGAAGTGGTCACTGGACATGAAGGTGAGGGGAAAAGGAAGCGTCAAAGATGATGTGGAAGGGAAGGCATTAGTTTGGCAGCTGAGTACGACAATGAGTGATGATGCTACGTCTGAACGGAAATGATTACAAAGCAGTGGGAATTGTGGGGATGGGCTCCCCACTCCCTCCCCCTCTAGTCCCCGTGTTTGCATTCAGCTCTACCCTGCTGGGTGCTAGCTTCTCCATCGCACTTCCGAGACATCTCCAGCCATGCTGCGGTGAGGGTTCTTCCCCCACTAGAACGTAAGCACTCTGATGGCTGGGGCCGGTTTACGTCTTCACTGCTTAGTCAGCACAGTGCCTGGCACATACCGAGGGCTTGATACATGCTCCACTGAGTTACCTTGTGAAAGGTCATAGTTGGACACACAGATTTGATAGGATCACAAAGAGAAATGGGAGTGAGGCCATGGAGAAGATGGTATGACAGAAAAACAATCCACATCTGCACAGTTCTTTGAAGGGGAGAAATAATACATGAGGGCAGACTGCTAAGCCTTGTGAAGACAAAACAGGGCTACTCTTCACCCAGTATTCTTAGCCACAATAATTCATTCACAAAGGTCCTATATTAAGGCACAGAAGGGTACAATCTACTCTGCTTGGTGAAGAGGCAGCATTGCTTTACACAGGACAGGCCAAACCATACTACCTTCACTTCCTTTTTCTGACCAGGGTAATTAGGCTCACAGATTAAAGCTGTAGACAAAGTATACTTAGTTTTTAGCAAAATGTATGGCAAAGTTTCTGCACACTATCCCTGTGGAGGAAATGGAGATGAGGGTTAAATGCCAGCATGGTTAGCTGGATTTGGAACTAGTCGGACGTGCAAATGTACTCATGAACTGATGAATGTCAACCTCGGCCAAGGTCTTTAAGCAGAATGTCCCAGGGACCTGTGCTTGGCCCTGTACCGTTCAACATTTTCATCAGTGACCTGGATGAAAGCAGAGATGGCATTGCTTGTCAACGGGACATCCCAAACTCCGGACAAAAGAACTGAATCCAAAAAGGTATTAGAATGATGGCTCAGATGAAATCAAATCAGATGAAACTTAGGCAGGACAAAATATAAAATTCTATGATTGGATTAAAAAAAAAACCAGTTTCTGCGAAAAAGATCTGTGGGTTTTAGAGGCCACATGTGACATCCAAGCTAAAAAAGGAAATGTTCATCTTGGTTGTGGAGAGTCACAAGAGGAGTATCCCAAAGGAAGGAGGGAAGCAAGGCTGTTCTCTGCCTTGGTCAAGTCACAAGGAGAACACTGTTCACTTCTGGGACTACCTTTGGGGAAAGATAAGCTGGAGGCTGTCTGGAAGAAAGTAGGTAAGGACAGTAAGATGACTAGAGAAGATGCCACAAAGATCAGTCAAAAGAATGGTCAGCTTGGAGAAGAGAAGACTTGGAGAGAATCTTATAACCTCTTTAAGTATCTGAATGGCCATCACATGGGAGAAGAATGAGCACTGCTCTGCTTGAGGTCCAAAGGGCAGAGTCCAGAAAAACAGGTGGAAGATGCAGAGAGGAAAGACTTCTAAACAATTAAAGCTATCCAAAAATGGAAGCAACTGCCGTGGAAAGCAAGCACTCCCTCACGAGGGAGGTAGGACTTCTTGTTGGGGATGTGGCAAGAAGACAGAAAACGAATCCCTCGCTCCTTCTGCGATGGAAGCGACACGGCCTCCCTTCACTAGCTCCTTACCTGGCTCACTGTCTATCTGCGTCAGTACGTCCTCGATGGAATCACCATCATTTCTCAAGCTCTCTGGGTCTGGTGGAGTATAACCATGGCAACGACACCAATGGACAATGTGCTTGGTTTTGAGGGGCGTCACATTGTGAAACCTGGGATTCTTCTCCAGAATTTCTTGTAAGACTTTTCTCATTGTCATTGCTCGTTGCCACTAGGGGAAAAAAGATGGAATTTACATTCTCCAATTCATAAACATGAGAAGACATGAAAGTTCTAAAATGGCAACTATGTTTCTGCCATTTTGGGATGGGGAAAATTAGACACCCTAATTCCATGTTAGAGGGTGACAATCTAAGAGGCCTTTCCAAATACGATTTTTTTTTGTATGAGGGAAAAATATAATTTCATAAAGCACTCTAACCAAAGTACTGTGTAAAGAACCTCATTCTCAGCTCGAAAGAGGCAAGGTTTAGGCCAGCAGGTTGGCAGCCAGAGTTTGAAGGAGTTGCTACCTTTTCTCTCCAAATGGTTTTTAGTTATACCCTGGTGATAGATAAAGACAAGATTACCTCTGCTGCCCTCCGTTTCCCAATGTTCCAACTATAATACTGCTCCACAGAACTTGCACAGAAACAATTGGCATCTTCACCTAGAAAGCATACCGCCAGCAAAGTCTGAATTAAGTTTTGGTTAAGACTCAAGGCAAGTTATTGATATTAGTCATTGGGAATGAATGTGCTTGAAAAAAGCACAATGTGGAAAAAAAATGTGCTAAGTGCAAAGGATTTAATGGACACCATTTGTATTTTAAAATCATGTTGTTAGTAATAATACATATGCCATATAATAAAAATATTAAAGAAAAGCAGGCTGTACAGAATTGAGAAGTACAACTTCACGTGTAACATGTTCTTGAAGACTCTTGCTGATGTTCAAGTTCAGAATTCAAAATCGGGGAAAAAAATAATAAGTGCCCAGACAGTCAAGACAAAACGCAGAGAAGAGAACAGAAGTGCTCAAAGGGGGACGCAGAAAAGCAAGACAGCTTCAAAACTAACGTGGAGATTTTATCATGTTTTTAAAAATAAGCTGGAGGCAAGAAAGTCCCTGTTCATGTACATTCTTTTTCTGTTTGTCATCTATGGAAATGTCCATGGGTGTTAGTGGTTTTTAAGCTCCCAATAACAAAAAATAAAGATTTTAAAGGAAAAAAAAAAGATCCAAGCCAAATGTGGGTAACTGGAGCCTGCTCCTGAGTCCCTTGGGACCACTTTACTCAATGCCATAATGAGCAGCTTGGCATGGGAAGAGCGTGGCCACTGGGATGAGGCAGCGGAGGAGGCAGGCGCCGACTGTCATGGGCCAGCCCCCTGCAGAATTCACTTTTGCTTAGCTGAGGAACGAAATCTAGTCAAATAAAGATATTTGCAACAAGCAAGGATAAAGAGTCTGAATTTGAGTGACCTCTGAGCTTGGAACTAGAGGGACCTACAGGGAGCTGCGAGAATGTCAGTGCCAGGAATGCAGGTTCAAGGTCTTAGTTCAATAAGAGTTCCTCTGGACACAAGAAAAAAAGGCGACAGAAGCTGATCTCAGGAACAGGATGGCAGAATTCAGTGTGTGTCTTTGACAAGAGACCAAGAGAGCTACATGCTTTCATGAAAGGAATGGGAGAGCCTCCTGCCTTGCTCCTCTGCCTCCATTCCAGCTGGGCCCATGACACTCTCTACCTGCTGCCAGATTCACCTATATCACACACTGCTCTCATCATCACTCTCATCCACGAAAGTCTTCCATTCCCCACTGAATGAAGCTCAAATACCTTAACCAGCTTCCAAGGCCTTCCATAATCTAGCCCTAACCTATCTTTCCAGCTTTGTACTGAATGTCCTTCACATCCCTACCCTGCAACCAAACTGGAGACTGTCCCCCAACACACATCCCACTCTCTCGTCTTTAATCCCCTCTGACGTACTCCCCCATCTATCTCACCTTCAACACCCATCTCCAAAGTCACCTACCACAGTCAGTCTTTCCTAACCTAGCCACATGAAAGCGACCTCTCCCTCTTCCGACGTCAGGGCACTCAGCCACTCACGTATTTGCCACATTCTAAATGGCACTAGATTTATCTATGTACATGTTTTGTCATCACTGAGAGGCCCTGACATACCACGTTAATCTTTGCATCCTTCCAGAATCAAGCACAGCACATTGAACATAAAGGCTTCATAAGCATTGGCTGAATGAATAATCTGGCCCTGTCAAACCACTGTTGTTCCGTGCAGGTAACTCTTAGGGTTGCTGGCCTCATAATCTAGGCCACACGCTTCTAATGATTAAGGTGCTTAAGGATTTGCATGATTTGGGCCTAACACCAGGGAGCACAAAGTAAGGATTGTGCCTGGGGACGTAGTTCCACTTTCCAAATGTACTACACAACCAAACACAAATAAACACTAACATCAAACACTTAAAACTTCAAAAAATGAGCACAGAATCCCTTACTGCCATGTTTTTCTTTTGCGTCCAGTTTCCTCTAAAGACCTTTCACGTCAAAGATCAGATGTGAGGGAGGAAACAATACTGTTGATACAATTCAAAACTAGAATGCAATAACACATGTATTTGACCAGATCAGTGACAAAGCCAACAATAAAAGACCAGCTAGCTGCCCACAAAACCACTCAGTCTAAACACAACTTCTTTCCGACTAAATTTTAAAAAAACCCAAAAAGCCACCACTGTTAATTTAAATTACACTAACCGTGCTTAGTACAGATTCATTTACTTACCCTTTTTAGTGATTAACGGGATCTTCTTTACTATCGCTGTTAGAAGCTGTTGGGTATTTTCTAAATGCTCTATGCTACAAGGGATTAAAAAAACAAAAGCAATAAATCCCATATATCAGCTTTAAGCCTCATTAGACAGAAGACTTTTTTTTTTCCTGGTAAATTACAGGAACAAGGGGGCAGCTAGGTGGAATAGTGGATAGAATACCAGCCCTGGATTCAGGAGGACCTGAGTTCAAATCTGGCCTCACATACATAACACTTACTAGCTATGTGACCCTGGGCAAGTCACTTAACCCCACTGCCTAGCCAAAAAAATAAAATCACAGGAACATGGGGGAAACATCCCCCTTGTCAGACCTTTTCTATAAGCAAAGTTAGACTCCTTGGGCTCCCTGTACTTCGCCCAGTGTTGGAGCCCCCCGGAAGAGCAATCTCGAGCATCCCACAATCCCACCTGGTCTTGATTTTCTACTCTCTGGCCAGGCAACAGTGAGCCTAGAACCACTGCTATTACAGTAGAAAAAGCTCCGTCTCATCAGAAATGTTGGGCTCAGACGGTGGATAAGCCTGGCAAGAAGGAACACACATCACTCCAGGCTGGCCGGGTTTCTAAACCAAAGCCTCCCTTTTCCTGGAGTGCTCGGTGGTTTCCAAAGCTCTTCACACAGATGGTCCCACTGAATGCTCACCACTCCCCGGGAAGGTCGATGGGCACGATGTATAAGGTCCAGAGTCAACACACAGTCTGTCAGCCTTTCTACCATTCTAACATATTTCAGCATGCAGGGGGAGGGGAATACAACTGGAAAGATAAACATTTAACGGCTCGTGATGCCCAAGAAGCGGAGGCATCAGGACGACACAGATGCAGACACCTCAGTGCCAGCAGGCTTCTCTTTCTGGAGCCGCCCAGAGCACACTACAAGACTGGGTGAGCAGCTCCATTCTAGAACATTCACAGAGTCCATAGGCTCTGGGGTGGAAAGAGACTTTGGAGAGCCTCTCGACCAACTGTTCCCCACAGCCATTTTACAGAGGATGAAGCTGAGGCTCAGAGATGTCAAACAGCTCCTAACTTGGATTTCAGGAGGTAACAAACAAAGTGACAGGACTAAGTCCCAGTAGGTTATTAGGTACCTGGGTGGAAGCACAAATTAAGGGCCAACCTTGAAAATAAATTAGTGTCAGTGAGATAATACATAAAAACGCTCTGTAAAGCCTTTAGAGCTACGTAAAGGGTGGCCATTATCCTCAGCATCTCGGTCCTGGGGCAGGCCACTACCACGCTAGCACGAGTTGATATTTCATATTCCACACGCCAATGCACGAGATATGACCTGCTTCTTACAATGGGAACGTTTTTAGGATGGGAATTTGTCTTTTGTCAGCTCACTGGAAGCATCTTTAGTGTGATTCCAGTAGAGGACAGGATGGCAAAGAGGACTGACACAAGCTTCAGGCTATTCCCACGTGGCTTTGAGCCCTCCACTAAGTCTGCATACTTTGAGGGCAGCTTTTCTTGGACAAATGTAGTTCAGACATCATGAGTACTTGGCACAGTAAAGCATATTTAAAAGGTCATTCTTCACAATGTAAATGGGGAGAATTGCTACTAGAAAACAACTGACAGTGAATACTGCAAAATTAGAGAATAAGACTGACTCCCAAGGCAACTGAGGACAACAAATACTTATTAAGCACTTACTGCATGCCTGGCACTGTGCAGAGAGCTAAGAATACAAAGGTGAAAGCCACCCTCCCCTCAAGAAGCTCATACTCCTCTCCTTTGTAAAGGTGGAAGGGTCTGCTGGTATAAAAGACTGCCTGTAACTTGAGTTTTTCCAAGTACTGATTGATTTTCCTGAATTTTTTCTCTTCCTCCTTTCTTTTTAAAAAATTATTTGTCTCATTTTTTTTTGGTAATACGGGATAGCTTGTTGGGAGGGTGAGGGCAAGGAATACAAATAAGATAAAAATATACAACATTTATGTAAAAAATAAAAATAAAATGTATCACCAAAAAAACTCCATTCTTACTAAATTGTTATTTAAGTATGTTAGGTCTGAATGGGCAACTGTTCTAAGATAAAGACTATACAGTTTCTGTGCACTTTGGGGTCCATACTGCAGTATGGGGATTTGTCATTGGTTAGGTTATGAGGCCACCTGATCAAGTCTAAGTATTCAGGAGGTGGTCAACTTTTGCATCCTCAAGTCATATGCCGCATAGGTTCTACCACTGCCCTGCATCATCTGCTTTAATCATAAGGCTGGGCTGTCTCAGGGTCATGGATCTTGTGCGGATTTTTATTAGGATGCTTTTCTCAATCTATCGTCCCTTTCACTGTTTCAAACCCTGTGTTAAGACTGGCATTACACAAGGATTAATTATTCTAAATGTCCTTCTGACTGAGCTCTGGTTTCTGGATGCCAGTAACTCTCTTAACATAGCTGGCTGTAGCTTTTTCCAGAGGACCTTTATGCTCAATGTATCTTGCCTGAAGAAAACCAAGTTATTTTTACAAACTGCCTTCATCCATTGGTTCCATCTGGCCTCCAGATTCGAGCTCCAAGTTTTTCCACCTCTGTTTTCAGTTTGGTGTACATTAAAAGTTTTACAAATGACCTTCTGGGCACTGGAGAAAGTTTCCAGGAGGTGTCCAAGGTGTTTGTTTAATGTGGTTTCTACACAGAGCCACGTGACTTAATGTCACCCACGTGCATCAAGGGAGCAATTCCCTCTTTAGCTTGGAAACTGCACTTATCTCTTGAGGTGAGGCCTTAGACCATCTCCCAAAAAGGGGCTATGCACTATTACTATTAGAAAATGAAAATTACTGCTAAAATCTGCAAACCCCAGTCATGCAGCAGATTCATAGGACAAATCTTAACCAAAGGATGAATGAATGAGCAGAAAGGGCAGAGCCCAAGAGTCAGGAGCCCTGGGGGTTCGAGTCCTGGCTAACCACAGGACCTTGAGCCAGCTGCCTCATCTGTAAAACGGAGACAACTGCCCTCATAGCACAGGGACTGCAGAGCAAGTGTGTCTGAGCCCTGGAGGGCTGCTGGATCAGTGCGAGGACTTTCACAAAGATGTCACTGACATGCACAAAGCAGGCCCTTCCACAAGCCCCCAACAGACCCGAGCTCTCTCAGAAAGAAGAGAAAATGTTACTTGATTGCATAGTTGCCCAGTTCAGTGCTTTCTTCCGTCTTCACTTCCGTCTGCACTTCCTGGGACACCAGAGTGAGACCGTTTGGTCCTGGTGTTTCTGGCTCTACCTTCACTGCAAAGGGAGACAAACACAAGTCAGGGATGAGTGGCTGAGGGCCACATGCAGTACCACGGCAGCAAACACTACCTTCACTTGTGGGGACTTGAGCGCCCCTCCCATAATGATGTCAGCGTCAAGCAAAGAACCATCAGATAAGACGAGGAGGGGTGTGAGTGAGAAAAGCCAAGATGGGAGGACAACTAAGACGGCCGGCCCCACAACGACCTCCTCAAAGAAGTTAAAGGCACTGAATCCAATCACTACAGAAACTTGGGGAGAATCGATTCTCCTTCTTCACCTGCCATCCTGCCCCAAGTTCCTCCCTCCCACAACCCACACCCTGATTTCTTGGTCTCTTGTGTGTAACGATCAGCACTTCCCAGCTAGTGACCCTGGGATCCCAGATTACCCGCTACAGGAGGCCGGCAAGGTCTCTCCTCCCACACTTTCTTTCATTCCCAGTGCTACTGTCAAGCTCCACCAGCCCTGATCAAGAGGATCTCTCTGCATGTCATCTACTCTGCACATTTTGCACATAGAAGCTTTTTATAGTACCCATTTCATTACGATGTTCCCCAGCTTAAGAACTTTCAATAGCTCCTTATTACCCACCAGCAAGGAAAAGGGCAGAAACCAGTAAATGAGGAGCTATGGATACTTCCTGAAGTCTCAGAGAAGAGATCTTCCAATTAGCTCCTCCTGCCACTCTGAGGATTGATTCTGGGACTCCCGAGCAGCGAGCAGAGGGCAGCCAGGTCCTATGAATTCCCTTGAAGGAGCTGCTCCAGCCTTTCCTACTGACCACAAGGTTTCCCACCTACCTTCAATGCTCACCACAAACGAGAAGTCTCACATTTCTCGACATATCATCATGCCTTGAATTATGAGTGTCGATCGCATCTTGCCACGTGGAAGTACCACGTGGTAATGCATCTTTCTGCTGTTCTTTTTAATAAGGAAGATTAACACTTTACCTTTAGTAACAGTGGTTGAAGTAGAGCTGACAGGGACCACGCTAGGGGCAACCACGGCGGGCATGGCAGGTGTCTTGCTGGCAGACAATGACTGAACTACTGAAAGGTTAAAGAAGAGAATAAATTGCAGTGTTTAATAATAAAAAATGGCATTATAAACATAAATCTTTTACATAAAACCCCCCTCCGGAAATCTAGACTTCTTGCTTTGATATCTAGGCAGAGCTAAGGCCTCATCATCTGCCTGCCATCCTCCCTGTACATACTGGCCATCAGTCAAAGGGTAAACATCCTCCTTGAAATAACAGTCACACCTCTCCCCTATCCCCCCCAACCCTGGGTACATAATCAGATCAGCCGTGGAGCACAGCTGATGCGACGGGGGGGGGGTCACTGTTCCCTGTACAATTAATCAGACTCCAGTGTGTGTGTGTGTGTGTGTGTGTGTGTTTCTCAAATGATTTCCTTCCCAACTTTCAGAAGATCCCAGTTCTAGAGAAAAGGATCTCAGAGGACATCAACCTCAACCCCTTATTCCACAGCTGAGTTTTCCATTTCTTGCTCAGGGACTGACCATCAAAAATCAACATCATGAGAATTTCTCTGAAGGCTGTGACACATGGCTATCCTATGATGTCATTCAGAATTATTGTTATCTTAAAGCGACATGAATTCAGGATGAAAAAATTCTTGGATGGCAAAGAAATCGACAAAGTCCTTTCACTTTACAGAGATTTCACCAAGTTTACATGGTGGTACTAAGTTTGTTACCTGTGGCAATGTGGGCTGGAGACGAGATAAGATACATTAATCCACAGATAATCCAAAACCTTCATAACCTCCTCCCTAATTCATTTTTTTAAGCCAGAGCTGCTAACAGGGAGCTCATTACTGATCCCCTCTTCTCCTAGGGACAGAGGTGCCAACAAGAAGTAAAATGGCCAGCATATATGAGGCTCCTTCTATCTAAACTTTTAGGTGATCCACATTTTTTCCAAAAGGACAAAAAACATGAGAATTATTTCTTTGCCAAACAAAGCACACTGACACAGCCAATATGCAGAATCCCACAAGCTCAGAGTTGGACGGGATTTAAATCCATCTAGTCCAACTCTTCCCCGAACAGAAAGTCCTTCCACAACACCCCCACAACTGTCCATCGAACACATATCAGAACTCTTTTACCCCTCCCAAGGCAGCCCTTCCTCTTTGGGGGCTTTTGGAGACAGCTCTGCCTCCTCTTCTTTACTGGAACGGTCTGTATTTCATTCTCGAACCCTCTCTATTCCTCTTTGTGCCATGGAATCCTAACCATTTCTTCTCTGAACTCCCTGAAATATGCTCTGAGAAAACCCTCTCTCTACCACAAACTCTGCAGCAGAATGGTGGAGAGTAGAGCTAATCACTGCCAACCACGCTTTTCCAAACAAGACCCAGGAAAAAGCCCTCATGCCCCAAGCAGACATCTGGAGGCTTTACCTTTATTCATGGGCATCAGGATGGTCTGGATGCCTCCTGATGCCGCATTTACACTGAGTGGTTTAAGCTGGCTGGGTATGGTCAGGACAGCCTGTTGAGGACTGGACTGGCTGGAATGGATCTTTAACAGCCCTGAAAGACGCAGAGAAAGTTCCACATGAGGGACTGGGAATGTTCATGCCTGGACTATTGCAATGATGGCTGGGGGGAGGTCGAGTCAGCCTGCTTCAGGCCTCTTCCCACTCTAGTCCACCCTCTATTCTGCCACTGAAATGATCTTCCAAAAGCACAGATCTGATCATCTCTCTCTGTCCCTCTTTCTCTTCTCTCTCTCTCTCTCTCTCTCTCTCTCTTTTTCTCCTCTTTCTCTCTGTGTCTGTCTCTCTGTCCCTCTTTCTCTCCTCTCTCTCTCTGTCTCTGTTCCTTTCTCTTCTCTCTCTCTCTGTGTCTGTCTCTGTTCCTCTCTCTTCTCTCTCTCCTGTCTGTCTCTCTGTCCCTCTTTCTCGTCTCTTTCTCCTCTGTCTATCCCTCTTTCTCTTCTCTCTCTGTCCCTTTCTCTTCTGTCTCTGTCCCTCTTTCTCTTCTCTCTCTTTCTCCTCTCTCTCTCTCTCTGTGTCTGTCTGTCTCTGTCTCTCCCTCAGCTACTTACGGCATCCAAGAACAAACACAGAATCCTCTGCTTGGCTTCACAGTCCTTCACACCTGGCCCCTCCTCCCTTCCCAGTTTTCTTACACCTTACTTCTCAACACGTCCTCTTCCATCTATTGACACTGGCTCCTGGCTCTTCCACAAACAAGACCCTCCATCTCCTGGCTCTGAGCATTCTCTCTGGCTGTCCCCAGGCCTGGAATACTCTGACCTCCCCAGCTTCCTATAAGTCCCAATGAAAATCCCACCTCCTACAAGAAGACTTTCCCAAGCCCTCTTCTGGAACACCAGGCCTGGAGTTAAGAAGAACTGAGTTCAGATCCAGCCTCAGACACTCACTAGCCCTGTAATCCTGGGCAAGTCACTTAACCTCCATTCGCCTCAGTTCCCTCATATGTAAAAAACAAGGATAACAGCAGCATCTCCCTCTCAGAGCTGTTGTGAATATCAAATGAGATAACAATTGCACAGCATCTGGTGTTGCACCTGGTACACAGTAGGTGCTATGCAGATGTTGGTTATTTTTATTTATTCTAGTGCTTTTCCTCTGTTAATTATTCCCTCTTTACGCCGTAGAGAGCTTGTTGTCTCCTCAATTAGACTGTGAGCTCCTTCGGGGCAGAGACCGTCTCCTGCTTTTCTGTCTCCCCAGCACTTAGTACACCATCGGGTACGCAGTGGGTGCTTAACATAGGCTTGCTGACATCTGGCTTTGATACAGCAGATGTGTCAAAACCACATTCAATCGACCTTCCCTTACACACACCAAACACAGAATCTGAAAATCTCCCATTGAATAACAGCACATTCTTTCAATCAATCAATCAAACAAGTAGTTGTTAGACACCCATGAAGCGCTAGGCATTGGAAATATACAAGGCCAAAAAACACGAAACAATCCCTTCTTGCAAATGGCTTCTGTTCTAATGAGGGGGACAAGTACGTACAGAATGATGCACAGCACAAGCCCAAAGTGGACCTGGGGCAGAGAATGGGAGTGTCGTGGGCACAGGACGGAGAGAACAATCGGGGGGGAGGGGCAGGGGCGGAGTAAGGTGCAGTGAAGCTCCCCGGAGACCTAAGTGGGAGACACCTCAGGTCAGGTTTGGAAAGCCCGACCCATCCGCACTGGTTGAATAAGGGAACTGCAGGCTCAGATGGATGCTGATGGAAAGTCATGCTGGCGGCAGCGTGCGGAATGAACCGGAAGCAGGAGACAAGAGGCGACCGAGAGCCTGAATGAGCATGCTCGCTGGAGCGGAGACAGGACGCCTCGTGGGAGAAGGACGTGGCGCTCTGTGCAGACCCGCCATGGAGCCCACTAGAGAAAGCCAGTCTTCCAAAGGCTAAAATTTCATGTCCTAGATGATACACCGGGACTCAATCAGTTAATCAACCGGCATTTCTTACACGCTTCCTATATACTAAGTACTGGGGAGTTAGAGACAGAAATCAGTACGGTTTTTGCCCTTGAGGGGCTCATATCCTTTGGTGTTTGGGCATGGAGATGAGGCATGGGCTAAGCAGCAACAGAATTTGGGGGCTAGACGGATACTGAGAAATGATTGAGTTCAAACTCCATATTTTCTACATGAAGAAGTTCTGGCTCAGGTTGGTTAAACCACCTGCCAAAAGTTACCGTGCAGAGCACAGCCAAGACTAGAACACAGCCTTCCCATCATTAGGAAATGGAACCTTAAAGACTGAATAAAAGACAAAGATGGGGCCTACCAAAATCAACTTTCTTACAGCCCAGAAAAAGAGCTACTTGACAGCAAGGCTAAGGAGGAAAAAGTTTGGTTTGAAAACTACTGTTCGCTGAAGACTAAGAGTCGGGAAAACTTCATCTCTACCCAAATGGTCAGGAATCTCGTATGAAGTGAGGCACGATAGCGTGCATGCATGCGCACACATGCGCACACTCTTGGTGACTGAAATTTCCAACCCGTCTGTGAAATCAGTGGTTGAATAAGACAGCTTCTAAGGACCCCTCGAGCGAGTCCCTTCAGCTCTTGGGGCCCGAGTTTCTTCATCTGTAAAATGGGGGCAGGGGGGTGTTGGGACCACATGGCTTCTAAGGTCTTCGCTCTGCACTGTGATTCTGTGGAGACAACCTGGGATGAGTGCACAGCAGCGCTGGCGGCAGTAGCTACTGACTACTTCTGGAACCACTAAACCTCTGCAAAGCACTTCCCAGAGAGATCTCGTGTGATCCTCACAACCCTAAGGTGGGTGTTCTCACTCTCCCTGTTTTACAGAGGGCGACACCGAGGCTCAGAAAGGTCAGCTGGTCACCCAGCTGCTAAGAGGTCCATCCTGAGATGCTGCCCGACCTCGCTGGGGGCGTCACAAACTAATCTAAATGGGTAATATCATCGATGGGGAATCAGAGGAAGCCTCGTGGGAACTGGGGACGGGAAGAATGTCAGCAGACCGCGGGGCCAGGGGGAGGGGAGCGGAAGGGCGCCGTGCAGGCCGTCCGGGAAGAGGGGAGGGCATGAATGCAGAAGCCAGGAGGAGCTACCCCAGGTAAGACCGGGGGAGCGGGCAGAGCCAGATTCCAGAGGGCCTTGAACATCAGAAGGGGACAATGAAACAAGAAGGAGAAGCCACTTACCTGAGACAGCGGTTTTGCCAGAGACAGGGGTTGCTGCGGACATCGGAGACGTGGCACCGATGACAGCCGAGGCGCTGGTTCTGTTGGCTCCTGTGGGCCCTGCCTGGGCTGGAGTCACACACAGTGACTGCTGCCCGCAAGCCTTCCCAACGGGTCCCAGCGCAGACGCTGAGCTGGAAGCTGCTCCTTCTGACTACTCGTCAGCAGCACCAGGAATGACCAGAAGTCAAAGGAAGAGAACATTACCTTCCCATCTTTTAATAATTTTTATCAGAATATGAAAGGCAGTGTGGCATGCTGGCTAGAGTGGCTTCAAAACCAAGATCTGGGTTCAGGTCCTGCGCCCGTAACATAATGTCTGAGAAAGTCCCTGAATCTTTTAGTTCACCCAGGCAGCTGTCTATGACTTCAGGAAGGTCCTTACCTGCACTGTTGGAGGGAAATTCCTCACCTGGGAATTCCCTAAGGTAATGAAATCACAGGTCCCATCCCTTTCCCCATTTGTCCCTCAGTCAAGGGAATCAAAGGGAATCGAAGCCCATTTTAAATTTACGCTGCCTGCCATGTAAACTTGATCATGACGACCCTCCCTTGCCCCATTCTTTCTACATGCAAGCACTCTGAGCATTCGGAGAAGGCAGGCTTAATTAGTCCTCTCACGAGCAGCATTAAGCAGAGCAGGGAGGCATTCAGGCTCCTCCTGGAGTAGGGAATGGTAGAGGACAGAGTTAGCAGGTGAGGTTACAGTTAGGCCTCAAAAGACAAGAGAGAAGCTTGAGGGCTCTGCTAGAGAAAACTACCTTCCAGGGCCATTTCCCAAGACTTCAGAGAAACCCCCCGACTCGAGCCCCTCATGTAGGAGCAGGTTTTGAATTTCTACATCATAAAGGAAAAAGTCTTCTCCACTTCAAGACCTGTACAACACAGCTCCTGACTGCCCATTTTGGGGCTTACCACCTTGACAGGCGGGCACTGCTTCTTAAATCCAGTTTCTCCTGATTTAGTTGAAACCTATTTCTAGTTCTTCTGTCTTCTACGTCATCCACATAAAAACTTTTCACACCCTTCCCTACAGATACTGAATTTCCACCTGAATGGAATGGCTCCTACTGACCGATCTCTTGGCTCACCACACTGCCCAGGCTGACCACACTCCTGTTAAATAGCTTTAGGCCATGTTTCTTCACCCAATATTTACCAATCTCACAGCAGTACAGTTAAAACCCTACACTCCTACTTTGTCATGTTAACAGAGTCACCAATCTCAAAGCCGACTTCCTTTGAGTGATGGGACATTCTGTATTAACAGCTTAGACTCATATCTGAAAAAAAAAAAGCCCCCAGATACACACGGCCCTTAAGTCATCTACTGAGCAAGGCTACATGCATCAGCCTCAGACTGTGTCAAGGGGCAGAATGCCTACGGTTTGCTTTGAGAAGGTTTAAGAGCTGTGCAGATGCCAGGTAGTCTGATGTCGTCAGTCGTCAGCAAACAAGGGGCTGTGTCACTGGGCCACCAGTCATCACTGGCTCTGGGAATTGGGAAGAAGTTGTCTGTAAGCTCTTGGAGCTGAGGCAGTGATACTGATCCATAACTTCGGGGGGTAAGTGCAACGAAAACCCTTCTGGGAGCTACAGCATTTCAGGTTTTTGCTACTGAGACACATTAATTATATTTAATCCCCAGGGCGACTTCTGTCTGAGCAACGTTCAGTTAGCTGCTGTCGTCCTGTTAACCCAGAATACTCAGGAGGCCCGGTGCCATTTTCCTGCTTCCTGCACAGCTCATGAGACACACTCTACCTTGCACACCTTTTAGCCAAGAGAGGCGCATCATGTTCAGAATTTCAAGAGTGCTGTGTTGAGGGCTCAAACACTGCTATCAACGTGTCCGATTTCTCCTTAGAAAAAGTTCCACCTCAATATAACCGAACATGGACCAAACCCATCCCATTAGAACAAGGGGGCTCTTCTTAACAAATGCACATTTAGGATAATTAAGAGGAAATACTACTTGACACAAAAGTAATAACCTCAAGGCATTACTCTTGTGTGCAAGAGAATTTCTGGCTCAGATTTCATGCTGCCATTGTGATAAGAGAAAGACCGTGATGGCAAAGAAACTGGCTCAGACTTCTTGCCATGACTATGACAAGGAGAGGACATAGCCTGTCATAGCAACTACAAAATCAAGGTTGGGAAACAAAGTCCCAGCTCCTGTTCTGAGCAGCTGGCAAGGGTCCTTATCTTCCCCCGTCTCATGTGTAAAATGTGTAAGTCCTTATTTTCTCCTCCTGCTTTCTAAAATTCCCATTTTTTCTATGATGCTTCCATAGTTACATCCTACAAGACTGATGAAGCTGATGCTCTGGGCTCTCTGACTTAAGAGCTGTGCATGTTCAAGACATGCCCCCTCATTCTCACCATCATCAGTGCACCAAGGTGAGCAGCCATTCACAAAAAAGGCCATCTTGGTTAGGTAGCTTCAAGGCTCATTCTCTCAAGCACAAATCAGTTGGTTACATGTGCTACCTGGGCATGCTCGCCCTTCTTCCTATAATGTCGTCTCCTCTGCTCTTAAAACCCTCAGCACATAAACGAACATCTGAAAATAAGGTGAGAAGGCCAAAGCAAGGGAAGGGGTCAAAAGCAGGAATGGTCACAGAGTCCCGAGGGATGGTCTGTCTCCACTGTGCCCCTGGGAGGGAGACCACCTTCTGTAGTGCTCTGCAGCAGCAGATGGGATGGCTGCCACGTTGCTCTCACTGTGAATATTGCCCAAAGCCCTGTGATCATTTTCCTTGCCACCTCAGTGCTCCTTACCTGCTGTATAACTCCATTGGCAGAGAGAGAGACAGCTGGGGAGGCGGCAGTAGTGATCACGCCCCCTGCAACTCTCAGAACAGTGGTCCCGGGCTTGGAGAGTGGGGTTGCGGCCGGCACAGACTTCAAGGAGCCATCAGCTATTTTCATCAGAGATGCCTGCCCACCAGGGTTTGCCTGTACAAAGAAATCATGTGTAAATAATAATGATGGAGCAGGTGCCTCAATTACATTTATACGGTAGCTTGAGAACTAGAACAGCCCAAGGATAATCATGACCTGAGCTACATGAACATAACATGGGCAGCTGAGAAAGGGTCCGTATACTCTTGCAGCAAAGTCAAAGTTAACAGCTTCTTAACCTGACAATGCTTTGGTGCAGATAATTTAGAGCATGTGAATAAATGTAGGTGGAATCCAGAATTTGGAAGCACAAATCAACCGTGTTTTTAAGGATATAGGCTAATGTGTCTTAAAAAGGCAGCTCAAAATACATGTCCTATTCTCCCCCAGTGTGGAAATTCTTTCCACCATATAATGGATGTAACTCCAACAATCCTTCTGTCCCTTACAGACTCAGAGAACTGCCTGGGGTCCTGAGCAGCTGGCTAGAAAGCTCATCCACAGTCACAAAGCGAGCACAATGTGCAGACTTGAAGCCGGATCTCCTGCATCCCAAAGGCAGGACTTCTATTCACTGCTCCAAGCTGCCTCTCCTCCTACTTTCACATGTATCAAACGAAGAACACTCAGGGACAAAAACAAGTGAATGAAATAGTGAAAGCATGCACATGCTTCAAGCATGCTGATTCTAAAGAACAGGTAAAGGTTGATCCGGTTTGTCGAGTGATTAGGGAGTGTGCTGGAAGAGCTACGGCGCCTCCTGGCATGCTGAAGACCCAGCAAACACTTGACAGATTACTTCACATAAAACATGAGTTGCCATTAATGCAATCTGCCCACTTGAAGAGTCATCAGTCACTCTGTACTGGACAAAATTCCACTTCCTCATCCTGGCCTCCATGCTCTGCAGAGGCCGTCCTCTGTGTCAGGAAAGCCCCCCTTTCCTCACCTCTGCTTTGCAGGATCCCTACAAATCACACTGAGAGGCAGTGCAGCTGTGAACAGAATGAATCCCACAGCCGACCCTTATTAGCCATGAGAGTGTGGGCAAGTCCCTGATTTCTGTGAACCTCAGTTTCCCCATACGTAAAACAGGGATGTGATAAATGCACTGGCCTGGCCACACTGGGGTGAGAGTTGAATGAAATCAAGTATTAGGCAGAGCCAATGTCTCCTGCTGGTAGGAGAGGCGACACGGGTGGTGTCCTACAAAGCCCTGCCCCAGGGGCCACATCCTGCCCAAGGCCCTTCTGGACCCTCCCTGTTCTCAGGGCTCCCTAAGGCACAGTTCTCACACATGTTATCTGATGTACTGTTTGCCACCAGGGCAACAAAGCAGCTTCTTGGAAGTGGAGACCGTTTGGTTTTGTCTTTGTATGTCCGGCTCATACAGGAGGGATCAAATAAGTTTGTTGAACTGAACTAAGACCACGTGAAGAAAAGCCCCCCGTAAGGTTTGCATTCACTATCTCTGACTTTAAGAAGAAGCCATGAAAAAACCACGGGCTGCCTCATCTCTTCTAGGAGACACCTAAAAATCCCTTTACCTAGTCAAGTGCTCTCTGCTCTATTTTCTTAGAAAGAGCCAACAGTTCTTGTCAATGTTTACTGTTGGATAAAACTGAGACATTTAGAGGACACAGGATGGCAGTCTCATGGGAGAAAGGTATAATTTTCTTCAGAAGGACTGAGTCAAAGAGGGAAGGAAGGGAGGCAGGGAGGGAGGAAAAGAATTGAAAGAAAGAGAAACTGGGGGGAGGGAGAAGGGAGCACAGGCATATTACCTGGGTGAACAAAGCTGTTTTTTGCCCAGAGATGACTTTTAACGCTTGCTGTCCTTGCGTGGAGGATGCATTGACTCCTAAATTGCCCTGAACCACAGATCCAGTTGCTAACTGCTTTCCAGAACTCTGAGGGGATGGCTGGCCAACCAAAAATGTGCCCTGGAGACAAAAAGGGAAAAGTCAAAAGATCTGAGTCACTAGCACCTATCCTTAAGTCACAAAAGGAGGCTCTGTTACAGGAAACAGAGCTTTCTTTAGATTCCAAAATTCCATCAGCACTGAAATATAAAACTCCCTAGTACAGTGCATCACTCACAATATTTAGAAAACAAACATCAAGTGAGCCAGCTAAAATACTTCAATCTTACCTAGATTATTGCTACAGGTGATTCTGAGAGACAACAGGATGGTGGAGGAGTGGGTATCTTCCCCCTTTTGGTCCCAAACCACATTCTCTCCCACCCTCTTCCTAGATAATGATTCTGCTGTATGCTAATGGTGAAGGCCACAAAAACATTATACCAAGGGTCTCTAAGAGACAACAAAAATGCTTGTCCACTTCCACAGTTCAAGGGATGCAGGATTTCCTCTCAGTGGAGGATGACACTGCCATCCAGCAGCTCCTCCACGTTCATAACTTGCTATGGATAAAAACGCCTCCTGTAGCGACAACCTGATGATGACCAGCTGGACTGGCCTTTCCCACTGAGACCCATAATCTGTTACTCAAAGTCTCTCCAGCTTCAGAGACCCTGACAAAGTTGGCATTACACTGGAAAGACTTGGAAAATGCAATATGACTCCCACACCATTTAGAAGGCATCAGAATACAACTTCAGTGGAGGATGTGGGATTCAGTCTCCTTGAAATACCAAGCTGCATCAACTGATGAAGGACAGTTTTTAAATGCAAAAGGCCAAAAAAAAAAAATAGAGATAGTAGGATGAAAACTTTTACTTTGAAGTATAATTGTAACATTTTCTTGTAATTGTTTGCATCTAAAAAGTCTATCTTCACACTTAGAAGAATTTATATTAAGTTATGGTAAAATTACTTAAAAATTTGTGTGTCAATACAAATGAGGTGGTTGGTCCTTATAGTTTAAAATACTTTTATAGGGGATGCCATGAAAAAAATCTGTTTTCAGTCAGACCCTTATTTAATTCCCCAAATTAAAGTTACATGAAATTTCCTGAGTCTTACAATAAAAATTTCTGTACAACAACAACAACAACAACAACAAATCAAAGGACAGAACAGATTGGGGAAAGTATTTACAGAAGACGCGACAGTTAAAAAAAACCTTGACAATAAAAATACACAGAGAGCAATAAAACATTTACAATGGCAACATTCAATCCTCAAAGGACGAGAACGATTTTCAACTAAGAAACAGATTCTTAATAATTAGCTGAAAAGGTGCTCAACCTCACTAGTAATATTGCCATGAAAATTAAAACAACTTTGAGGTACAACTTCACACTTATTAAAATGGAAACAAAAAAATTAGTAGCAATAAAACTAAGTGCTGGAAGGATAGGAGAGAAAGATGTAGATGAACAGGCATCATGTTCATTGCTGGTAGGTGCAAATTAGCAGGATCTTTTTAGAAAGTAACTTAGCAATCAGCATGCAATCGAAGTTACAAAACAATCTAATTATCTTATCAGAAACTGGAAACTCGTAGTTGTCCAACCAGAGAGGAATAGTGAAACCAACCGTGGCCCAGGATTACACTGTTACTAAAATCAGTAATTATTTAGAACATAAAAAAATCTGACAAGAGTTTTACAAAATCACATAAAGTGAGAAGAGCAGAACCAGAAGCACCAGGCACACACACAACAGATATAACTGAACAAAAGGAAAAAGGAAAGGAAATGAACAAAAACCCAATGGAGATCTGCAGGGGTGAGCTACTGAAAAGCTACCATAGTCTCTCACAGGTCTCGAGTTGGAAGGACCTTATGTTGATATTGAATGCTAGGTTTACTATGGATTTCTTTTTTAACGTAGAGGACGGCATCTGACAAGATGGGTAGATCCTCTGCGGAGTACAGCTAGGGGTTGGGATGAACGGAGGATCCCTATCAATGAGGTGTAAAACAGACCTTCCAATGCTGCTCAATTCTATGTGCATATGACCGTCTGATGGGTCAAGTAACACCTGCCCCAGCCTCCCAAGTACAGTACGGGCTGGAGATACAGAGATGTGAAACTTGGCTCCCAATGGCAGCATTCTAGAGGAGGTCAACTGTACCCAAAGGCAGATCCTAAGTAAGCCCCAACCTTGTAGTCTCCAAGGAATTTCAAAAGAGCAGAAATGAAGGACCCAAACCTGTGGAGTCTGCTTGAGGATGTAGGATGTGTAGGTCACATGCGGGGACACCCCTCCTGGGGTTGCACCCTGTGCTCCGGTACCACCGCTGCCTCCAGCTGCAGAAGCTCCTCCCTGGAGGTCTATAACACAAAGAGGCGCCATCATCCCACGTGTCCCTCTGAGTCCCCTTCTCCCTCCCAAGTGTACTGCATTTTTTCCAGACTGATGTTCACTCTCCAGAGTCAGGAGTGGTCTTGAAGCCTCTTCATTATCTACCTGATCAGGAAGTGAATGGACAAATCCCAAACACAGCAGAGACACATCTGAAAAGCTCTCTGTGCCTTGGTATGGGAGAGCAGGGAAGGAAATTAGATAACGGCATTTTCCAGCCAAGAATGTGACAGATCTCCCTCAACTATCTTACTGTTCAGACAAACTAACGGTCACCAAATGCGGGGCCCTCCAGCACCCTCAAAGAACACCTCCTGGATTTTACGGAATCTCAGAGATGGTGCGCTTCCTCTTTGGCTTTCCCTCCCTGGACTACAGTCAGACTTTTTTTGCATTCACAAGAATTGCAAGTGCCCATTCTCTTCCAGACCTCTCTTCCCAATGCCTATTCCTCAGCTTTTGGCCTCTGCTGCTTCTCTCCAGGAACTGCCTTTTCTGACCCACATCCCATTATCTCTCCTCCCAGTAACAGAAGTTTCCAGTCCCGAGGGCTCTGACAACCCGATCAAGAGCAGATTAGGGAAAAGAACGATTTCTGGAGATTTAGGAGGCGATTCTGGGAAGAGGGTGAGATGAGACATGAAATACTGGGCTCTCCAAATTTCCCCAACAAACAAGGCAAAACACTGCCTCAAAGTGAACTCAGAGTGGTAAAAATAATAAAGTCTGGGTAAAGCAGTTATTCTCCTAAGATAACCTGAGAGGACCTCAGAAAGACCAGAGGCCTGGCCCTAGGGAAGTACAAACACCTGCAGGCCCACTCTGCTGAGTTACCAAACACAAGCCCTGAGGGCAGCCTCCCCACAGTGTGGGGGTTGGAGCCTCTGCAGGAGCAAGCAGACACCCGGTGAGTGCGGTGGCCGAGGGGATGGAACCCTGCAGACTGCCGGCATTTGTCGGAGAGTAGAATCCTGGGCAGAGGAGTAAGCTAAAGTCTGCAGCTGCAGGAGGGATGGCAGCGAGCAAGAGTGTCTGCAGTACAGCACAGCTGGGGGTCTTGGCTGTGGCTCAGGGGCAGAGAAGGGCAGGCCCCCAGACAGAGTTCAGAAAACAACAGTAAGAAAAGCCGGAAGCTCCAGGCATCACTCCCCACCCCCCACCATCTCCCCACCTTGGGACTAGAACCTGACTACAGTGAGCAAAGGAGAAAGACCTCGATCATAGACAGTCACTATAGGGATAGAGGAGATCTGGGGTTACACTCAAAAGAAGAGAGTGAAATGTAAAAAGCCACTCCTAACTCCTACTTCAATGAAAAATGTCAAATGGTCACATGCCCAAAAAGAGTTCTTGGAAGAGCTTAAAAAGGACTTTAAAAATCAAATGAAAGAGACTGAGAAAAATCAGGGAAAAAAACAAGAACAATCCAAGAAAATCAAGAAAATTGTGAAAAGAAAGTCAGCTGACTGGAAAAAGAAATAAAGAAACTTAAGAAAATAAGCCCTTTAAAACTAAAATTGGGCAAGAGGAAGCTAATGATGTTATAAGACAACAAGAAACAATAAAACAAAATCAAAAGAATGAAAGAATAGAAGAGAATGTGAAACATTTCACTAGAAAAACAACTGATCTGGAGAACAGATCAAGGAGAAGCAATGTAAGAATTGCTGGACTACCTGAAAGCTATAATCGAAAAAGACTGAAGATGTGATATTACATGAAATCATTACGGAAAACTGCTCTGAGGTTCCAGAATGAGAGGGTAAAATAGAAATAGAAAAAATCTACTGATCACCACCTGAAAGCAGTCCCAAGACTAAAACTCACAGGAATATTTTAAACAAATTTCAGAGCTCCCAGGTCAAGGAGAAAATACAAGAAGCAACAAGAAAAACACAATTTAAACACTATGGAGCTAGAGTCAGGATGACACAAAATCTAACAGCTTCTACATTAAAAGACTGAAGGGCTTAGAAGGTATTTTAAGAGCAAACGAGCTGGGGTTGCAACCAAGAAAAGCTGACTATAATCTTGAACGGAAAAAAAAAAGAGGATATTTAATGAATGGAAAGACTTTCAGGTATTTGTGACAAAAAGACCAGAATTCAATGGAAAGATCTAGGAGAAACATAAGGTTAACTATAAGAGATTAAATAAGGTCAAACTATTTACTTCTTCTTTTTTTTTGGTTGGGCAATGGAGGTTAAGTGACTTGCCTAGGATCACACAGCTAGTAAGTGCTATGTGTCTTAGGCCAGATTTGAGGTCGGTACTCTATCCACTGCGCCACCTTCCACCTCGCTGCCCAAATGTTATCTGTACTCTTAAGAATGTTACCCTCACTTGAGTAGTTTAAAAGAGCATACATAGATAGAAAGCCTGGGGCAGAGTTAAGTACGATGGGATTATTCTAACAAATAAAATTGGGCAGGGAGAGGTAAAACAGAAATTATCTCATACAACTAGGTGGGAATGGAAGAACCGCTACAGAGGAAGCAGGCAGGGGTGGAGAGCTAGTAGTGCTGCAATCTTATCTTCATTGGAAGGGGGGGTGAAGAGAAAATAACATCTAGAAGGGTATAAAAAGTCTTCTAAATTTATAAAGAAACAGAAGAGTGAAGGGACAGAATAAGGGAGGGTCTGCAGACCAAGAAGTAGGAGAGAAGGACTCTTAGAGGAGTGGGTAGATTAAAGAAAAGGAGTGTAAGGGTTAAGCATAAGGGAAGAATTCTTTAAAAAGGTGTGGGTTAGGGAGGTAGTGGTTAGAAGTAAATTAAGACTTGTGAAGAGGATAGTGTAAAAAAAGAGGGTAAGAAAGATAACAGTAAGGAAAAACAGGATGAAGAGAAACACACAAATAGTTATTATAACTTTGAATGTAAATGGGATGAACTCACCCATCAAATGGAAAGGGATAGCAGAATGGATTAAAAACCAGAATCCCACAATATGTTGTTTACAAGAAACACATTTCAAAATAAGAGCTATACAAAGAGTTAAAAATAAAAGGCTGGAGTAGAATGTATTATACTTCAGCTGATATAAAAAAAAGCAGGGATAGTAATCACGAGCTCAGACAAAGTTAAAGCCAAAATAGATTTAATTAAAAGAGATAAACAGGGAAACTACATTGTGATAAAAGGTACCACAGAAAATGAAGCAATATCAATACTAAAGCTATATTCACCAAATGCTATAGCATCAAAATTTTTAAAGAAAAAGTTAAACAAATAACAGGTGGAAATAGTAGCATTATAATAGTGCGGGACTCTAACCTTCTCCTCTCAAAATTAATAAATCAAACCAAAAAAAAATATGAAAGAAGTCAAGGATGTGAACAGAATTTTAGATAAGCTAGATATATAGATATATGGGAAAAAATCAATGGGAATAGAAAGGAATACACCTTTTTTCAGGGGTACATGGTATTTTTACAAAAACTGACCATATATTAGGGCATAAAAACTTTATAGCTAAATGCAGAAAACAAAAACATTAAATGCAAGCTTTTCAGATCAAAATGCAATAAAAATTATATTCAGTAAGGGACCATGGAAACACAGATAAAAAACTAACTGGAGATTAAACAACCTAAACTTAAAGAATGAGTGGGTTAAAGAACAAACCATTGATTGTTAAAGAATAATCAATAATTTCATTAAAGAGAATAATATTAATGAAACAACCTATTAAAACCAATAGGATGCAGATAAAGTAGTAATAAAAGTAGATAATTTGTGTCTCTAAATGCTTATATCAATAAAACAGGGAAAGAGCAGACAAATTAATTGGGTATATAATCAAAAGAACTAATCAAAAATCTCCAATTAAGCACCAAACTGAAAATCTTAAAAATTAAAGGTAAGAGTAACAAAATTGAGAAGAAAGCCACTGAATTAATAAATAAAACTAGGAGTTGGTTTTATGGGGAAAAAAATAGATAAACCATTGGTTAATATGATAAAAAAGAGAGAGAGAGAATGAGAAGAAAACCAAATCACTAGCATTAAAAATGAAAAGGTGAATATACCCCTAAAGAAGATGAAATCAAAGTAATTACATGGAGTTATTTTGCCCAATTACATGTCGATAAATCGAACAATTTAAGTGAAATGGAAGAATATTTAAAAAAATAAACTGCCTAGATTAACAGGAGGAGGAAATAGAATATCTAAATAAACCTATTTTAGAAAAAGGAACAGAACAGGTCATAAATGAGCTTTCTAAGAAAAAATGATCAGGACCAGAAGGATCTACAAGAGAATTCCACCAAATATTTAGAGATCAACCAATCCCAATGTTAAATAAATTATTTGGAATAACAGATAAAGGAGGAGTCCTGCTACACTCCTTTTATGAAATAAATATAGCACTGATGCCAAATCAGGAAGAGCCAAAACAGAGAAAGAAAATTAAAGACTAATTTCATTAATGAATATGGATACAAAAATCCTAAATAAAATATTAGCTAGGAGACCACAACAATATTATACATTGTGACAAAGTGGGATTCATACCAGTAATGCAGAGAATAAAGAAAACTAACAATATAACTGAGTCTATCAATAACAAAAGTAACAAAAATTATATAATTATATCAATAGGAGCAGAGAAAGCTTTCCATAAAATACAATACTCATTCCCATCAAAAACACCTGAAAGCACAGGTATGAAGAGATTATTCCTTAAAATGAGAAGAAGCATCTACCCAAAATCATCAGCAAGCATTATCTGTAATGAGGCTAGAAGCCTTCCTAGTAAGCTCAGGAGTGATCACTGTCATTAATATTATTCAGTATTGTATTGGAAATCCTAGCTATAGCAACAAGAGAAGAAAAAGAAATTGAAGGAATCACAATGGGCAATGAGGTAACAAAACAATCTGATGATTATATACTTGGAAAATCTTAAAGATTCATCTAAATAGTGGAAGTAATCAATAATTTTAGCAAAGTAGCAGGATACAAAATAAACCCATATAAATCATCAGCATTTCTATATCACCAATAAAACCCTGCAAGAAGAGAGAGTAAGAAATACTCCATTTAAAATAACTGCAGACAGTATAAAAGACCTGGAGTGTAACTGCCAAAATAAACCCGGGAACTACATGAACATAATTATAAAATACTTTTTATAAATAAAATCAGATTTAAATAATTGGAGAAATATTAATTGTGCATGGGTAGGCAGAGCCAATATAATAAAAACGAGAATTTTACCTATTTATTCAATGCCATCGCAATTAAATTACCAAAAAATTATTTTACTGAGCTAGGAAAAATAATAACAAAGTTCATTTGGAAAAACAAAAGGTCAAGCATATCAAAAGAACTGGTAAAAAAAAATGTAAAGGAGGAGATTTAGCAATACTAGATATTTATACTCTATGGAAGTAATGATCAAAACTATCTGGCACTGGGCTAAAAATAGAAAGGCAGATCAGTGGAACAGAGTAGACATACAAATACACAGTAGCAAATGATTACAGTAACCTTGTGTTTGACAAATGTAACAATTTAAGCTTTTGGGATAAAAATTCATTATTTGGTAGAAATTACTGGGGAAGGTGAAAGCAGTCTGGCAGAAATTGGGCATAGAAGATAAAATCAAAATGGATACATGACCTAGACACAAAGGGAGATATCGCAAGGAAATGAGAAGAACATGGATCATACTGCCTATCAGACTTATGGATAGGAGAACAATTTATGAATAAGCAGGAGACAGAGAGCATCATGAGGTATAAGATGGATAATTTTAATTACATTAAATTAAAAAGGGTTTGTACAAATAAAACCAATGTAGCCAAGATCAGAAGGAAAGCAGAAAAGCGGGAAAAAATTTTTATTGATGGTTTCTCAGATAAATGTCTCATATCCCAACTATATAAACAATTCTGTCATTTATAATATAAGCCGTTACCCAACCGATAAACTGTCGAAGCATATGGCAGTTTTTCAATGAAGAAATCAAAACTATATAGGAGTCATATGAAAAAATATTCCAAATCATTATTGATTAGAGAAATGCAAATTAAAACAACTTTGTGATATACCATTTTACACCTATCAGATTGGCTAAAACAAAAGAAGAGGATGTAGACAGAGTGGGACACTAATTCATCGTTGGTGGCTCTGTGAACTGATAGAACCATTTCGGAGAGCAATCTGGAATTATGCCAAAAGAGTTATTAAACTGTTTATACCCTTTGACTCAATAATACCACTATTAGGTCTGTTTCTCAAGGCGATTAGGGGAAAAGGAAAAGAATTTACATGTTCTAAAATTTTTACAGCAGCTATATTTGTGGTGGCAAAGAACTGGAAATTGAGGGGATGCCTGTCAATTGGAGAATGGCTGAACAAGTTGTGGTATATGGTTGTGATGGAATACCATTGTGCTATAAGAAATGATGAACAGGCTGACTTCTGAAAAACCTGGAAAGACTTTATGGTCTGATGCTGAGTGAAGTGAGCAGAAGCAGGAGAATGTTGTAGACAATAACGACCATGTTGTGCGATGGCTAATATTGATAATCTTAACCCTTCTCACAGCAATACAAGGATCTAAGACATCTCCAAGGCCTCGTGATGGAAAATGCTATCCACAAAGAAGAACGAACTATGGAGTCTGAATGCAGATCAAAGCATAGTATTTGCTATTTTTTTCCTTCTGTTGTGTTTTATTTCCCTTTTCTGGTGGTTCCTTTTATTGGTTCTAATTCTTACTTACAACATCACTAATGTGAAAATATATTTAATAGGAATGTATACGTATAGCCTATATCAGATTACGCACCGTCTTGGGGAAGGAGGTGGAGAAAAATTTAAAACTCAAAAGCTTATGGAAGTGATTGTTGATAATTCAAAATAAATTTTTAAAAAATGAAAAAAAAAACCAACCCATAGTGCCTTGCAAAAGTGCATGCTCAATAAATATTGGCTTTAATTAATGGTTTTAAAGATTTTTATTTTTTGACACACAATAATAAAATTTCATATATTATCTCAAAAAACAAAGAAATGATGAGCTGGGTGGTTTTTGAAAAACATGGAAAGACTTGCATGAAATAATGAAGAGTGCACAAGATTTAGCAGCTTCTACATTAAAGGACTGCAGGGCATGGAATATAATATTCCGGAGGGCAAAGGATTACAACCAAGAATCACCTACCCAGGGGAAAAAATGGTCATTCAGTGAAATAGAGGACTTTCAAGCATTCTTGATGAAAAGACCAGAACTGAATAGAAAATGTGACTTTCAAATACAGGACTCAAATGGAACATGAAGAGGTAAACAGGAAAGAGAAATCATAAGAGACTTACTAAGATTGAACTGTTTACATTCCTGCATGGAAAGATGATATTTATAACTCATGAGACCTTTGTCAGTATTAGGGTAGTTGGAGGAAAAACATTATATGTACGTATATGTAGATAGATAGATAGAGGGCACAGGGTGAGTTGAAGATTAAGGGGTCATATCTGGAGAATAAAATTAAGGGATGAGAGAGGATTATACTCAGAGAAGAAGAAAGGGAGAGGTAGAATGGGGTAAATTATCTCACAAAAAAAAAACCCAGAAAAGAAAAGTCTTACAGTGGACGGAAACGGGGGAAGGTGAGAGGGAATGAGTGATACATTCAATTGGGTATGGAAATCTGTCTTACCCTACAGGAAAATAGGGGGAGAAGGGGACAAGAGAGCAGGGGGATGATAGAGAGGAGGGCAGATTGGGGAAGGGGGTAATCAGAAGGAAATACTTCTGAGGAGGGACAGGGTCAAACGAAAGAATAGAATAAATGGGAGGGCAGGATAGGATTTAGGGAAATAGTTTTTCACAACATGTCTACTATGGACGTGTTTTGCATAACTGCACATGTACAACCTATATTGAGCTGCTTGCCTTTTCAATGAGGGTGGGTGGGGAGGGAGGAAGAGAGAAAATTTGAAGCCTAAAGTTTTAAAAACATATGTTTAAAAAAATGTTTTCACATGCTACTGGGAAATAAGAAATGGGGTACAGAAGTCTATCCTGCCCTACAGGAAAATAGAAGGGGAAGGGGATAAGAGAAGGGGAGAGAGATAGAAGAGAGGAAGGGATATTCAGAATGCATGCCATCTTGGGGTGGAGGGTGGGGGGAGGGGGGAGATGGGGTGAAAATTTGGAATTCAAAAACTTGTGGGAGTGAATGTTGAGAACTAAAAATAAATAAATTTATATTAAAAAAATAATGAAGAGTGAAATGAGCAGAATCAAGACAATGTTGTAAACAGTAAGAGCAATACTGTTCTAAGAACAACTTTGAACAAGTAAGTATTATAAATACTCAAATCAAGTACAAAGGACCTATGAAGGTCCTATAAAGTACCTATCTCCCTCCAGAAAAAGAACTAATAACCAGAAGCATACAAAGTGTGGTTTTTACACACACACACACACACACACACACGCACACGCACACACATAGAACTGTGTCTAACGGAAGCCTTTTCTAGGGCAGGATAAGGGTGGAAAGAGGAAAAAAAAACCTAGCATGAAATGAAATTCATGGTTTTATATTGAATCCTCTTTTTATGTTGTGCTGAGTACATGGAAATGTTTTTTTTGTCATGTATTTAAGTTAGGAATAAATTTCAAAAAAATTTTAAAAAGAGATTTAACTAGATTTCAATTATACTGGTGTTCACACAACAGGAAGAAAATGCCAGGCAGAGAGAATGTAAATCTTCTACTTCAGGGCCACTACCTCCACAGACTAAACATATTCACTATCAGTTGATAAAGTTTCATCTCTTAGGACCTAAGAAGATGACCATTAAATTCAGATCTCACACTACAGGCTTTTCTTTTTACATCCCACCCATTTGGCTGATTTTCTACAGTGACCCCAAGATGACCATCTAGGGTTTCTCTGTTTAGACCTAGCCCAGAACACCCTTCCCTACCTATAGGTACTGGCACATTTCAGCCCACCTGGCTTGTCATGGACAAGGGAGGAAAGAGCCCTGTTCCTCATGCAGGGCAGCCAGTCCACATGGGTGGCTGCGTGCAGGGGCAGAGAACAAATCAGCTTCACCCAGGACAATACCACCCACAGGCAGCTTGGCTCACAGTGGTCCCTAAAGGGATGTCAGGAACAGCCCTAAGCAGTGATCTTGGGAAATGCCTGACATTTATCTTGGAGCTTGTATATAAAAGCAAGAAGGGATACAGGAGTGGGGTGAGGGAAGAGTAACAGAGTATACGGGGTTGGGGACAGTGGAAACTGTGATACATGGACAATGCTAAGACTTATCTCAGATGCCAGGGGTATGACTGACTTCTGATTAACAGTCATAATTCTAGGGCGGGAGGGAGGGAGCCAGCTTTTCTTATCTTTTCCTTCTTAGTGTCACCTGAAATTCCTCCCAGGCCCCAAGCTCTGCCACTGGAATATGCCCAAAGTATCTGATTCTGTCTCTTCATCCTTAGTGACACAAAAATACTATTTAGAATGAGCACGTTTTTCTGGTATTGGAAGAGACAAAAATGACACAGAAACAAGCAGCTGAGCTGCGACCCTCAGAAAGACTGCCCAAGGAGGCTTAATCTCGTGCTTGTCTACGCCAAGTGACCACATACAAATGGATCTCCTGCTGGATGCATACTACGGAGACGCTGCCCCCAGCAGATCAGAACTGCCCCTCAAGTCTGATCCGGTCACGTCACAGACCCCCGCTGAACATGCCCAGTGCCCCAACAACAACAAGTTTCAAAGACACACTCACTAGCACCGTGTGTGGCCCGCAGGATGGCCCCTTGAGGGATCAGCAGGAGTTTTCCTTTTCCGGAAGGGTTCTTGCTATTGGTTGTGAGGTAGAGTTTGGTGCCAGGAGGTAAATTTGCCAAGTTGGCCAGATTGGTGGCAGGCAGCTGCAAAGTAGCCATCACTGGAATGACAGAGAAAGGCGGCTGGTGACAAAACACTGAAAACAGAAACAACGGTAACAAATAAAACCTATTTTAACTGAATGACCAGTGGACACAGGTGACTATAAATAGCGGCCATTCTTTATTTAATGTCTGTACAGCAAGGGTGCCAAAGGCAACACTGATTATATATAGATAGACAGATACAGACAGAAAAATCACACACACACACACACACACACACACACACACACGTATATTGCATATATAAGTGGGAAGGGACAAGGGAGAGGAGGACGAAAAGAGAGAGATGACAGAGAATGGATAAACTCCCGCTAACACAGAGCTCCAAGCCCATCTATGGGCTACATACATTTTCAGACCAGAGAATCTTGAAAAGTGCTCTGATGTTACGCTTGGGCACCTGGTCAAGTTTCCTGTCCAACACAATGGAGCCTCTAATTGACTCTCTTTTTCAGGGCTGAATTCCTCATTGTTTTGGGTCAGTGAAGAGGAATATTTATTTTGGTTCAAACCAAGGAAAATACTGTTCAATCAAGGTCCATCCTCTAGACCAAGAGACTGCATCCGGGCAATAAAAGGCAAAGTCACCAGGACTGTGAAATCTCACTTTCCAAGTCTTACCCTGCTGTGGGAGCGGCTATGTGCGCCCTCTGGCTCTCCCCAACTCTACAGGCTGTCGAAAGCCTGTCGATGAGCAGCAGTCAGTGCAGCATGAGTCCCCTTCCATTCCTAGTGTCAGAAGGAGTCACACCACGGCATGGGGATCCTGGGGAAGCTGCCTATCCTTTTACAGGAATGAAGACAGTGCTAACTGCTCAGAGTATAGCTTGCCAATGAGCCAAGAGACCTCAACTATATCACAATCCAAAGTAAAAAAATTGCACAAGAAAGGCAAAATACGTGTTAAGGCATATCAAAGTGAAAAGTTACTAAGAATCGCAGATTTCTAGTGACAGAAGAGAGAATTCAATTCAAACCTACCTTAAGGCACCAGGCTAGATGGGACACAAATTCTGCCCTCAGGAAGCTGCCCTCAGGATATAACATATAAGTAGACACACAAATACAGCATATAAACAAAATAAATGTACAGTGCCTGGGAGCAGAGGGCACAAATGACTGGGGAAACCAAGGAAGACTCTTGGAAGCAATGGCACTTGGGCTCAGACTGGAAGAGAGCTGGGGTGCCAAGAGGAAGAGCCAAGGGACAGAGTAAAGGGAAAGGAAGAGATAAGAAAGGTATTAAGAAGGTCACTGGATTAGGGACTGGGTGGGGTGAATGAGAAAAGAAGTGATGATGTCCAAGTGTGCAAACCTGGGAGAGTAGAAAAATGGTGGTGCCCTTGGCAGAAATAGGCAAAGAAAGAGGGTGGTTTTAGGGAGAAAAATGAAGAGAACTACAAGAGAGCAGAGTCACCAAAAAAAAGAGGGAGAGGAAGTATCCACAAGCAAGGAGCCGTGGGCAACAGGGTCAAACATTTCAAAAGGCTGAGGACTGAGAAAAGCCCATTAGATCTCATAATAAAGAACTCGCTGGTGACCTTGGAAAAAGCAGTTTCCATCAAGTGGGGATGGAAATCAGGCTGCTGGGGGTTTAGAAATGAGTGGTGAGTGGGAGATGAAAAAGTGGAAGCCAAAAGTGCAGCCAACTTTTCCTACTGAGCCTGGCTGCAAACAGGAGAAGGTGCACGATAGTGGCCTAGGGACATGGTAGGGTCAGGTGAACCTTGTCCAGGATGGGTGAAACCTGGGCGTGTTTGTGGGCAACAGAGAGCAAGCAGATAAGGAGAGACTGAAAACTAAGGGAAGAGAATAAGTTCAAAGAAGAGAGAGAAGAGAGGCCGGTGGTAGCAAGATGGCGAAACACTTCCTCCTCTGAGAAAGGATGGTAGATGTGATACCAAGGTGTTCGGAAGTGGGAGCTTTCAATGAAAGGCCAACAGGTTTTCAGCAAAGGAGAAGTCAAGGTCCTTTACTGAAAGGGAGGGGATGATGGACACAGTGGGGTGGTGGGCATGACATAAGGAGGGAAGAAGTTGGAAAGAACCATGCTGGAAGAACGCTAATGAGGGAAGGGTAAAAGGATTTCTGTACAGCATGAAGGGCCCAAGTGGGATTGGATCACATCAGTCTGGAGTGGACCCAGACTCAGGGCTAAGTGACTTCCTGCTGAATATGGCATTCAACAGGATGTTAAGCAGGATTGGCGGCAATAGCGGGAGTAATTCAGGGATAGGGGCTGGTCATGGAATTCAAGAGTTCAAGACTGTCTAAGCTGAACTCGATAAAGAAAGAACTGAGTTTTTGAAGGGAGTAAAGTGAAATCCAAAGAGGGAAGGTGGGCCGGGAGGGAAGACAATGGATTGAGGATGAGTGAAAGTTCGATGGACAAGAGGGTTTAGTCAGACATGGCAATGTGCTAAGCTCTTCATCTGGGGACATGCTGCTTTCTCTGCCACAAATCTCTCCCCACTCCAGGCCTTCCTCTGCTCAGCTGTTAAACTGATTTTCCTAAAGTGACCATGTCACCCTTGTATTCAAACAACTCCAATGGCTCCCTATTACCTCCAGGATCCAATCTAAAACCCTCTGGCTCTCAGAACCCTCCCTACCTTTCCATTTCTCATACACCACACTCTTCAGTGACACCAGCCTCCATCTCCCACCTCCAGGTGCTTCACTCACTGTCCCCCCAAGCCTGGAATTCTCACCCTCCTCATTTCTGCTTCCTGACTTCCCTGGCTTCTTCAAGCCTCAGCTAAAAGCCCACCTTCTAGAAGAAGGCTCCATGCCAGCATCTTATCTGTTGGTTATCTCCAATCTGTCTTGTGTGTATCATCTATACACTTGTTTATATGTTGTCTTCCCCATCAGACTGTGAGCTCCTTGAAGGCAGGGACTGTCTTTTATACTTCTTTGTATCCCCAGAGCTCAGAACAGTACATGGCACACAGTAGGTGCTTAATACATGTCTGCTGAGTGACTGATGGGTCAAGCTGCTGGGACAGGGGAGGAACGGGACCCAGGGCACAAGGCAAAGGGTCATGGCTCCAGCAGAGCCTTGGCTAAAGAGGAGGGAATGGCGGTGGAGGGAAGATGCTTCAGTGAGAGCTCCCGTTTTCGCAACAAAGGAGGAATTAAGGCCCTCAGATAAGTGGGGACGGTGCTGCAGCCCTTGCTAAGGGCAGAATGCCCGTCGAGGTGTAGAGGAGACCAGGTAACAGGAAGAGAACTCCCTGTAGCAATTCTACACCTCAGGAGGCACATGTAAAGCCTACAAGGGGCGGGACTGATGGGGTATGAGGGTCAGAAATCCAGAGTAGAGGGAGGCTGGCACAGAGCTGACCTTCTCAACTACAAGGAGGAAAGTGAGACCAGGATGGGATGAGATGCTGGAAGGACTGGCAGCTCCAATGAGGATGAACAGAATTAAGAGCAATAAGGCACAGGGAGAGGTGGAAGCTACCTTCCAAGAGAGAGGAACTGCAGAGCTCAAAATAATGCAAGTGGCACAGCCGGGTGTCGGTGAGGTTCGAGGTGCGGCCATCCCCACGGTTGACAGTGAGAGGGAATAAGCAGGTCATAGCACTCAAGTCTGATGACCTGGCTGCCCAGGGCACTCAAGGGGACAGCAACATAAATGTCGACATCCACCCTTGTGAAGCATGGGCTGTGATATCGAAGAGCTTGTTCAGAAAGTAGGCAGAATAAGGGTAGCAAAAGCACTCAGGGTCTAGACATGGCAGTGGGAGGAAAGGATCCAAGATGCCTGGCCCAGCCAATGCTAGCAATCTAGGGGGCATGAGGAAAGGAGAAATCAGCATTAGAGAAGATGGGCAGGAGTCCAGTGCCACCTTAAGAAAGCTGGGTTTCCATGAGCCCAGAAGTCTGAAGGAGGAGTCCAGGAGGAAGCCTCAATGGCAAAGTGAAAGTTATAAAGATGAAAGGATGAGCGGGATATGTGAAAGGTCAGGCAGGAAGAAGGGGTTTTCACTTTGGCTTCCCAGAGACCAGGGAGCAGGAGAGGGGAGTCTGCTCACCACAGAAAAGGGAAGCACCAGTTACAAGCAGGACCAGTGTCCATATGGATGGTCACCTGCTGAAGGAGGCCACCATTCTTGGACAGTGCAGGCTGGAGGCCTTCTCTGTACAGCACAATCCTGGGTCGAGGACACTGCAGTATGAAGCATCCCTCCAGTCCCAGGCAGTGAGAGGGCCCGAGGGGGCCTCCATTTGTTACTACCTATCCACAACCAGCCTTCTCTGGTGGAGGGCAGGAGGGCAGTGGCAGGAACAGCACTGCCTGTCACTCATCTGGGCCAGGGCAGAAAGACCAGACTGGAGGCAATGATGAGGCTCTGGGGGGGGGCAGCGGCAGCAGAGAAGGGCAGTGGCTGCCAGGGCATGGGGGTATTCACGTCAGAAGCATCCCGCTCAGCAGAGGAGGCTCTTGCAGGGATGGACACATGAAGGCACTGTTTCCTGAGGTAGTCATTCCAAGGAGCGACAGAGAACAAAGTACAAGCTGCTGCTGGAAACAGGAGCTGGGAAGACAGAGTATGGCAGCCTTCCAAGGGAGAGGAGCTGGTCCTGGACCCCCTGCCCTGGCCTGAGGCTGGAGCAAGAAGGCCTCTGCCCTTCTCAGCAGGGGCAGGGCCCCTCTCATTGGAATAGAGAAAGCCCCTGACAGAAGAGGCCTCCTCAGAGTGAGGCTATAGCAGAGCTAAGACAGAGGCCCAGACTTCTTGACTCCCCACGGGTCACCCTTTCCACTCTACCACCTCCTATAAAAAGCCTAGCTGGATAATGATAAATTTTTTTTTTTTAATGATCTAACTAGAACCTGAGTTTGGAATGACTCTTAGGAGAGGTGTTAGAAAAATTGAGACTTATGCTTCAGACTATTAAGTATGGTTTTCAGTAGTCCTGCAAGATGTTATTTTTAAAAACCTGAAGTAAACTTTGGCTCTTTCTGTAGCGTTCTCCACAAATTATTACTGGGCCAGAAAAAGTGAACGCCTTTCAACACGCCTCCAATGTTGTCAGACAGTCAGGATCACACAGCACTGATTACTGATATGGACGTAATGCAGAATTTTACAACTTGATTATGAGTGGCAGCATGGCTGTACCTTCCCCAAGAGGTTTCCTAATCTGGCCAATAACGTCATTACCTGAACCTTGGGATCCACTTTTTGGCCCCCCGGTGGAAGTGACCTGAGCCTTGGTTAAGGTCTGCACAGGCTGAGCAACAATGGTTCCTCCACCTCCGCTCACAATCGCTTTGGCAACTCCTTGGGTCACAACTTGCTTTGGACCAACGGCCTTGGCCACGGCGGAGCTGGCCTTGGCCACCAGGATCTGGCCACCGCTGATAGCCACGGCCTGCTTCACTGTGGACTGCAAAGCAGACCCGACTGGTACACCAACCACCTGCATAAAACAAAGCAGACGTCACCTGTGCTCCTTCTGGTCCTCTGCTAAAGTCCAGACCTCTCAGAGTGAGCTGTCAGTGTATGCAAGTGATTCTTCACGGCTTAAGACTATTCCCACAGGAACAATAACAATAAGATCAGGTACCTTAAGCATGTGACATGGATCAGTCACCCAAGAGGAAAACGGCTAGCTGCTATGGCAATATGCATTCTTGGCACAGAGATTCAGGATGGTATTTGGGCTAGATGTCAACTAGACTGCTTACGGCTGGCCCTGATTTCCTTTACTTCTTCCACTGAAAAGCTTGGGATACTTAGTAACCTCGACCGACAAAACGAGATCAAGAGCGTGATGTCATCCCAGACAAAGTGAAAGCCGGACGGTGTCTGGTGAGCCAGGCAGTACAAGTGTTCCTGCACGCCTCCGGGCAGGCCAGCAGAGCAACCTTCAGACTGTTTCATTCCTTGTATACGTATCCCCAGTGCTCAACACAGCCCTTGGCACACAGCAGGCGCTTAACTGCTTGTTGACTGACTGACTGATTAGTAGGTGTGGAAGAGAAATAAGCTAAAGGCTTCCCACACTTGGAATATTAGCTTGACAGGAACAATATTTGTAACTTTAATCAACATTAACATGAAATCAGTGGGGGCTTATAAGGTGCTGTATAGAGTGCAGTACAGGATTCAAATGACCTGACCACACAGAACGCAGAATCTAAAACAAGGCAATGATGACGAGGGCAGACTAGGACAGAAAGACACAGTCTGTTGCTGAGTACCAAAACGAACACACTGATTCAGATAAATGTCTATGGGACAAATAAGAGAGCAATATAAAATTTTTTTACCTCTGTTTTATAACCTGAATGAGCATGTATTTCTTCCCTCTTCTAGCATTTGAAATATTGACGGACATTGAGGAAAAAGACCCAAATCTATTTCTGAATGGCAGCATACTCACTGTTGCATCATTTGGCTTCTCACGTAGAGTTGAAACCAAGAAAATAAATTTTGTGTCTGGATCTCTGCTTATCTTGCTATCCTGGCCAAACGTAAAAAGGTTGCCCCCCTTCTCCATTTCTATTAGTCCCTGAATTGGATCTCCCAAATTAAAAAATAATGATGTTAAAAATATATTTTTAAAATAATTCTCTAGAATGCATATGGTATCTACTGGAATCCCGGCAAGGAATGGAAACAATCTAAACCTAAATGCTCTCAGGGAATCACCTAGGGTACAGAGCCTCAGTGAACTTCGTAAAGAAGAAGGACATGATATATTTCTCATGTGTTTATGGGCTGTTGTCATTGCTTCTCCTAGCAATACACATATTTCTCCTAAAATCTAAAATCTACACATGTAGAAAACTGCCAAAACTAAGAGCTCTCAAATACCAGAAGACGCTTAAGTGAAAACAGAGAGCTGTGAGTCCCATTTCCATTTGAGGAGGGGAGTCCAGGCTCAGGGAAGCAGGGCTTTGGTTCAGGGGCAAAGAAGGTGACATTTTCTCCTGCCTCCAACTATTTCAGGGCCCTGAGTAGCGCCTGCTTTTAATCCTGACCTCAGAACGACACGTGCCTTTACGATCAGGACGGTGGCTGTAGGTTCTCCTGCCTTTCTGGAGTACCCTAATCTTCATAGCAATTGTCAGCTACTCCTCATAATCACTGTTAACAAAACTAGGAAGAGAACCGTGGACGCAGTGCCTTAGTGACACGGTCTGACTGATCCCAGGGAGGCAGGAAGAACACTTCATTTGTGACATTCAGATGTGGGTTCACATGAGGGCCCACAGGGAGCCACTGACTTGCCCCAGGTCACCCACTGGCAGCCAGGAAATGAGCCCGGGGTCATCTGATGCCAAATTGGGTGGGTTTTTGGTTGGCTCACACAGTGCAACGACTGCCCTAGCCGTTCCTCTAACAAACCCTGGAGGGATGGTGCTTGTACCTTTGGTGACTGAGCAGTCCCGTCTCCTGTAGCCACGACCTGTTTCTGAGGGGACACAGCTATCATGTGACCCCCTTTCACCGTCACATACTGGGGAAGAGGCGGCTGGGCAGGGGTTCCTGAGGTGGGCATGTGGGGGGTTTCTCCAGGCTCCTGCTTGATGATTACCTTGTAACAAACACAAGCACACTAAATAAGGCACCCCATTCTGGAGACATTCTATCTGCTGGGATTAACAAATTAGTGAAACGTGGTCTGCAAGAAAAGGCAAGAAGCTACCTGGAGAAAGCTCACATTGGACACAAGTGTACAGAAATAAAGCATTCACCCTGTGAATATGACAACAAAATCCCTTCACCTACTTCTTCACATCTGTGAGGAATCAGGCATCCTAAGGGTCACATTTCAGAAAGGACTCTGTGACAAGCAGAGCAAGTCTAGGGGAGGATGACAAGGATGGGAAATCGTGATGCCCAAAGGCTTGCTCAAGGCCATGGAGAAGAATCACTTGCTGAGACATGAGGGCTGCCTTTGAGGATAAGAGAGTCCATCATATGGACTAGGAATCACACTTGGGAGGAGATGGGGAGGGCACTCAAATTGAGAGCAAGAACGAAAAGCTACAGACAGATTTCTGCTCGAGCTAAAGCTGTCCCCAAGGGGAGTGAGCTGCCTCAACATGCTAAGTAGGTTTCTTTTCACCCATTTGTGGGTGTGTTAGATGGGCCTCTCTGCTCAGGTCCTAGACTCTGAGATAGAAAAGGATCAGCACCAGAACACGCACATCTCCTTTCTTTACCAATACAGAGATAAGACAGGAAAAGGGAGGGCACCAACCCTCAGGGCTCTCCAGACAGAATCCTGACACCACATCTCACTTCCCAAGGAGCTGAGTGAAAGGTGGCACATTGCAATGGGAATGCCAATGAACGATCACCATCACCCCAACCAACATTTAGCTAGCAGACCATGGGCAGAGACCTGAGCCGGGACCCCTAAAACAAACACTCACCTTGGTGAAAGCTCCGAGGCCTCCGGTGACAGGTTTAGGGCTCTGCACCTTGGAGTGACTCCCAATTGGGCAAAGAGGAGGCATAGATGCAAACAAGGAGTCCTCCTGCTGGGTAGGCAATCATACATGTCACATAATTAGGCAACTCAAAAACCAGGAGTCAATCTGATTCAATTCCAACAACCTGCACTGATCATACCATCCTGGAAATCCGAGAAATTCAACCTGAAGGTTAGCTGCTCAAGATGATTCTCTGGAGCCCTAGCCAGAGCCGAGATTTAACACTATTTTAGGAGTCAAAAGTAAACAGGAGACACAACTGGATGTCCTCTGTTAACAGATTTCCTTTTAAACATCATTTACTGCTTGGTTCGGAAACTACAGACTTAGAAAATATTTTATTAAGCAGGGTAAATTTTTTTCTTTTGCAGATTAAGACAGTTTTTCAACGACTGCAAATAAAACAAAAAATATTGACTTTCTGAAGCTGTATAGTTTTTTTTACTGTATTATTTTTACATAAGCCTTTATAATTTGTAGTCGTCTCATTTTTTAATTAATAATTTTTTTACATCAGTCACTTCTGACATACACTTGTACCTCCATTTCCTCTCCCCTCCAGAACTGAACCTTGTCTTGTTTTTTTTTTTTATTTTCTAAAAATATTTTATTTGTTTTAATCAGTCAAGATCTTCCTTCTCATCATCACCCTCCTCCCAACTGGGAACAAAGGAAAAATAAAGCCCATTACAAACATGTATAGTATAATCAATCAAAACAAATGTCCACGCTGGCCTGTCCAAAATAAATATGTCATTCTGCATTCTTGACCCTTCACCTCTCTATCAGGAGGTGGGGAGCTGCTTCTTCATTAGTCCATCATTAGTCCTGTTTGGCCATTATGCTGATCAGAGTACAGCAGTTGTCTCTAAATTTACATTAAATGTAAATTTTGAAATTTAAAATGCAAAATGCACCTGTCCAACACAGTTAATTTGGTTGGAAACATAAAACTTGACATTTAAAAGAACCTCAGGCCTTCTAGTTCCACCAGAGCTAAGCAGGTATCCCATGGACAGCCTCCCTAAGAGGCAGTCATTTCAGTACTATTTTAAGGATGCTTGTATTAACTGTGATACTACATAAACTGCAACAGAGATAAAAGGCATCCAAGTCAGCTCTTTCTATAAGAAAAATATGCTAACACTGAAAGGAGGGAGAGATCAGGCACAAAAAGAAAATCATTAACTAATATCAGTAATTAAAGTAAAAATATTGAATAAAACATTAAAGATATAGATGACTTATTTTAAAAACTTGTCCACTATGGAGTTCTATCATGAGTGCAGGATAGCTCAACATTCAATCAACAAAACATTTAATAAGCACTTTCTATGTGACAAGCACTTTTATTAGAAAGCCTATAAACATAACAAAAATAATATAAATCATGATTATATCAACTGATGCAAAATAACCCCTTTGAAAACAATATTAATTTATGTTAAACACATTACAAGACTTAGGAATTAAGGAATCTTTTTTTAATATGATAAACATCATCGATCTGAAACCAAGTACTAACATTATTTCTAAGAAAGGAACATTAAAATCCTATCCAGTAAGAACTACAGTCACTACTATCAGCTGATTTCATTCTAGAAATGCTAGAAATAGCAGTAAGACAAGAAAATAAATGGAAAGAATATTAGGTAAATAAGAGAAAGATGGTCTCTGTTGGCAAATGATATGATGGTTTACTTATATAATGCCAGAACCAATAAAAAAATTAATAGGTAAAATTAATTGCAGTAAAGTGGCAGGTTATAAAATAAAGCTGAAGGAAACAGGGATGTTTCACCTGCAACAGACGGACAGGCCAACAAAGCCGTTATTTGTTATTTCAAAATACCAGAGTAAAGACAGTTGAAGGGAAAATTTTGGCTAAGCATAAGCAAGTAGTTTCTTTTCTTTTTTAAGTTTAAAAAAAATTTTATTTTTAGCTTTCAACAATCACTTCCATAAGATTTTGCGTTTTAAATTTTCTCCCCTTCCCAAGATGGCGTGCAATTTCATATAGGCTCTACATATACATTCATGTTAAACCTATTTTCACATTAGTTATGTTGTAAAGAAGAATTAGAACCAATAGAAGAAACCATGAGAAAGAAGAACAACAAAAAAAGAGGGCAAATAGTAAAGCAAGTAGTTTCGAACAAGCTAAAGCTACTCCACAATGAGGCAGATGCGCTATCTGCAGCAGTGACAGAGCTCCATTAACACAAGGGTTTAAGCAGAGACCTGATGGCCAGACAAAATCAAAGAATCCTCGATATAGAGCTGGGAAAATCCTCGCAAGCCCAGTATAAGCGCCTTGTTTTACAGACGAAGAAACTGACACATGGGAAATTAGGGTCACCCAGAGAGTAAATGGCAGTGCTAGGATTTATACGCAGGTTTTCATATTGCAGCAATCCTCTCTTATGTCAAGGATACCGTCAGGTAAATTCTTGTTTGGGTAAGAGGGGAACTAAATGACCTCTAAGGCTCCTTCCAACTCTAGGAATTTACCTGACAAAACTTACACAGTCAACTGAAAAGACACTGCTTTTAACCATTCCACAAGCATTTATTAAGTGCCTATTCTGTGCCAGGCACTGAAGATTCACATCCAAAATGAAATGGTCCCTGCCCCCAGGAATTTAACATTCTACTGGGAGAGACAATATGTCTGCATGAAGTGGCTAACTCGTGAGCATCCAAAGAAGGTGTTACCTTGACTGTCGAAGTGATGAAGCTACTTCCGTGGATCTTAGGAATGGGAGACCCTGTTCCTTGGGCAGTCTGAGAAGCAGTGGACGACTTGCTGGTGGGGCTTCCTGGGGAAGAAAAGGGCAGACTGAAGCCTAACGTACACAAAAGGAGATCTTCAAGTATCTGACATTTTCTCTTCCTCTGCCCCACTCCTTATGATTCAAGCAAAGCTGAAAAAGAAAGGATTTCCAAACTACTGTGGAAAAAAAATGTTTCAGCTCCCCAAACTGCTCCCTTCACCAAACCACAATGACCTGGAGAGGGAAGATAAAAGGATAAGAAAGTAAGAAGATAACAAGTGGACAGGAGATACTACTCTGAGATGACTCTCAAACATGGTTTTTCAAACAATACACTGAAATGCAATTCAATAAATGATAATTAGGTGTCTGTCCCCTAGGGGACCTCACATTTCTCAATCTGCTTCTGTCACTCAAAGCCTTTTGGAATTGTTCTCAGCACCAATTATAGTTAGGCTCGTTACTTTGTGGGGTACCTTCAGTCTGGCCCCAAACACCTGGAAGTTCAGCTTCTTGCTCCTAAGATAGTGCCCCTTCCTAGGCTTGCAGTGAGGTAAGCAAAAAGACAAGAGCCTCAGCAGCGTGGCCACTGCCTTTATCCAGCACACTTGGCTCCCAATGACTTTATTTCAGAAAAAATAAAATCCGACTTCAAATAAAGATGACCTACCATCGAGAAGAGTCAAAAAGATGAAGCGTGAGCTCTGAAAAAGGATTCCAAAAGAGATTTCCAGTAATGGTAGTGCCTGTGGAATCAGTAATACAGTCTCCCAAAGGGACTGCTTTGAAAAGAACAAATCATTTTTGTAGGCAGGCATGTCCTACCCAATGTTGTTGACTGATCACACAAAATCACAAGCCTAGCTGGAAGAGGACTGCTGGGAACATTCAGTTTCCTAGCAACAATATTACGGCAGGTTCTGGAGCAGCCACAATTCAGACCATTAAGGCTGTCAATTGGTCATTACAGAAAGCTGAGACCACGTAGAGTGTCCCCAAAGTTGGAGTGCAGTTTGAAGTCATGCAAGCTTAAGTGCACTGAGACTCCTGGGAGGCTCCAGCTAGTACTGCAGCGTTGTGGGAAGGGACAGCATCAGGGCTCTCTGGCCTTTGCCAGTGATTCTGTCTCTATATCTATATGGGACTGCAACTAGAAGATCTTGACAGCGGTCTCCAGCTCCAGATCTCAGAGAGTCAGTAAGGCCCTGGAGAAAAGAACAAAGGCTTTTAGCAAGACAGGGCAGCAAGCCGGGGGTGGGGAGGAGCAGCTCAGCTCCCGCTGGGAGAGTTGTCTGACGCAACGAAGCAGGGAGGATGAAAAAGCCAGGGATAGACTGAAAGGGAAATGGGAAGACGGGATCACTCCCTTCTCTTTAGGGATCCCCTGATTCTCAGTTTAGAAGCCCGTCACATGAGACTAGGCATTCTTTTCCACGGCTGAAGAAGGTACATCTTCCTCAAGGAACAGAGCCATGAAAGGGTCTCGAGCCTTGGACATCTGGGGGGAGGGGTGGAGGTGAAGCCACTGTAGAATCCCAAGCCATCCTCTCTTCTTCAAAACACTGAGAAACAGAGAGATTCAGTTCAAGTCAACAGACACTGCGTGACTAACGTGGTCACAATGACCTGGAAGGTCTGCAAGTCAAGTAGAACTCACTGATCTAAAAATTCAACATTTTTTATTATCTCTAGATGTCTGTTCTTCTCGAAGCAGTGAGATGGAGCATTAACATTTGCTTCTGTCCTTAATGTGTGATGGGAGTGCTGCAGCCCTGACTCTGACTATGAAAGGCTGGAGAGGTCACTGAGAATCCACTGTAAAAGGACCTCCAATGGCTGCTTCCTCTCTGACCATTCAAGTTACAGCAATACAAGTTCATGGCAGTCACACCAACTATTCCTTCCCAAGCCGTACAAAAACACTACAAGGCTCTTCTGAATGGCCACAATTGCGGGCAGGCTCCTGCTGCGGGCAGCGCTCTGCTAAACCATCAGGATGGGTTCCCAAATTCGCTGAGGTCTGCTTGGCCTCTGCAGCCGCACAGGAAGTGAAAGCAGGAGGTTGCATGTATGAAGCATCCTTGCAATGCCAGGGAAGGACACTTTCAACTTCAGGTAAGGAAGAAGCAGGGATGATGAACCAAGACACAGACGGGAATGGATGGAGCCGAGCATCTCTCAGGGGGCTGGAGGACTCTGGAGAGGTTTGGGTAGGATGTATGCACAATGTTACTGCAAAGCGATGCTGGTCAAGGCCATGCTCTGGCTAAATTCTGAATGGCTCAATAGTGTCTCACACTTTGTATTCTTTGAGCTGGGTCTTCTATTTTGTTTTCACTTTCCTGCCTTGTAAGAGGGGGCATGAAAAGTCTTTCTTACTGAAATTCAGGTAAAGATGCAATGAATAAAAACACATTTAAAGATGAGGAATCAAATAAAGAATAATAGGCATAAAGGGGCAGCTAGGTGGCACAGTGGACAGAGCACCGGCCCTGAAGTCAGGAGGACCTGAGTTCAAATCCGGCCTCAGACCAAACACTTGACACTTACTAGCTGTGTGACCCTGGGCAAGTCACTTAACCCCAATTGCCTAAAAAGCAAAAAAAAAAAAAAAAAGAATAACAGGCATAAAAACATACTGGGCTGTGACTCACAAACAAGTCATTACAGGGCTGGGGAATCAGCACATGGCCCTCTAGGTCCTCAAGTGCAGCCCTTTGACTGAGTCAAACTTCACAGAGCAGGCCTCGGGCTCCTCACCCTCCTTGGACTCTAAGCTCCCTGAGGACGGGCCATTGCCTTGCTCATGTTGGTGCCCGGCCTCGCCCCTTGCCCGATCTGGTCCTGTGATTTCATCGGTGTGGGGCACTACTCTTTACCAACGTAATCTCATTACACCAGCTTACACCAGGGCAGCAAGACTCCAAGTGCTCCTGGCCCCCCACTAGTACCTGCCAATGGCAGGACTTAAACCGAGACCACCTTCCTGATCCAAGAGGCCTCCGCCACACCACAGGGTTTCCCACCTTGCATATCAGAGGTCCTTGATAACGACAGTTTGGACTCAGTCATCATCATTACGGATCCAGTGTGTTCTCATTCTGGCCATCATGTAACCTCTGCAGGATCTTTGCCCACTGGTCTAAGCAGCAGTTCCCTAACATCACCAGCTTCTTCAGGGATAGACTTAAAATTCTGAAATGCTCACGATGTCTGAAGCACTGAGAGAGAAGCATTCAAGGGTTCTGAGGTAAAAGGACAACATGAGCGAGACCAACTTCTTGCATGTGCCTTGTAAACTTCCAGGACGCAGGCCAAAGCCTTTCTGGCGGGGCGCCATGCCTGAAATGGTGGCCTTACGCAGCCCGCTCTCAGACACGATTTTCTCTTGTTTCTGCTGCGCCTCCTTCCCTTGCTTCTGTCAGAAGGTAACATTTTCTAGCCCCCACTAGATTTCTAGTGACCAGTTCATGCCAAGACTTCAACTTTCACAGAACAAGTAAAGCGTACCACAAATTATTTAAGCCAAATCATACCACACACCTGCACTGGGAGCTGCGGCTCCAATGACCTGCCCAGGCTTGTCCGGGAGAATGTAAGAATTATTAATAACAGAGTTGGCGGTCCCTTGCTTCATGTGAACTGGAGTGGAAGTTGGGGTCTGAGGTAAAGGAAATGGACTCAGAGTAGAGATTGGGGAACCTTTATTAATGAAAAAGAGGGAAATAAAATACTTATGTCTAACCTTTCCATGATGCCTGAGAGAGGCAAAATCCAACAGCTGCACAGGAAGAGGGCTGCCAAGAAAGGGACGGAGACCCGAAAACCTGGCAGCAATACTATCATGAGCACATGGGCCGCAGGGACTAGTATGCCTCCCTCTACACCTAACCGCCAGGGACCGCTGCCTCCTTAACACCGGCAGGTGATTCCAGCCCTTTTCTATCTGAAGAAATTAAAGTGCTAGAAGGTCAGTGGGACCCCAGAGAGTCTGGGATACCTCACTTCAACGACCTAGGAAAAACACTGGTATCTCTTATCAAGCCAATCTACACCTGAGCGAGTGACTACAAACCTTCAGAATGTGATGCTGAGAAGGACAGTTTCGATTGCTAGCTGCAGCACCATGCAATGGTTTGGGAGAGATTACAACTGTCCTTCATGGGAGCAAATCATTAGAGTTTATTGACATACCACTAATAACCCTAACTTTCTTTGGATTTATCTTCCAAGAATTTTTCTCAACTTCAAACTTGTATTTCCAGCTCAGCACCAATCTCAGAGGTAACCAGTTTTTTATTTACTGCCTGCCATGTGAAATCACACTTCCTTCCTCCTTTCAGGTAACCTAAATTCTCTAAACTCTTTTCAGAATTTAAGGAAAGTCCCTTGGTCTAAGATGTCTAGGCTAAATTAAATAAGTTCCCTCTACTTTCCATCATTTTCTAGTCATAGAACTCTAACATACTAATATATAATACATAAATCAACTAACTAATTCTTCTAAGCCTTCAGCTTCCCAGGCTGAGAATCAAGTCAGAGTGGCCCACAGGGAATCTTCTGTATCCCTTTAGCCTCAGAATTATCCCATCCCAGGACTATCTCCAGGCTTTCGGCCTGCTTAAATGGAGAGCCAGAAAACGCACACTCTTAAGCGCAGGCACGGACCCATGCTGGATGTTTAGTGACTGTCAATGGGAGGAAGCTACGGAGTCAGCAACTTTTCCATCTTAACGAAAATCAAGCCAGAAGGACTAAGAGATAAAGTTCACTGACTGCATGAGAGTGACCACATAATGTAATAATATATTTATATATGATACAAATAACATAAAAATAAATAAAAATAATATAAATAAGCTTCCTCTCCCTGGGCCTCAGTCTCCTTATCTGTAAATAAGGACAGATTAGATGACCCTTGAGGTCCTTCCCATGGTCTACGACATTAAGAGCAAAATGGCAGCACAGAATTGTGGGCAAAGCCGGCCTCAAAGTCACAGAGATCCAGATTCCAGTCCAATCTCAGCCATACCCTGGCACCGCGTGACCCTCTCAAAGCCCAAAGCCACACTCAGCCGAAGAGAAGGTGATGAGCTTGCACCTCCAGGAGGCGTTTCTTCAGCCTGTGTTACCAATTGCAATGAAATCCTAAGTTAAGTCCCACAGACTGGGCCATTTTTGAATGAAATTAAGAGACCTTTAACAACTTTTCACTGTTTAAAGCTTTCAATTATTCACCGGAAAGGGAAAAAGAGTTAAGCTCAGCACAAAATGTGTGAACTCACCAACTCGGATGCTCCTTCCGCCAGACTGCAGCACTGAGATCACTGTCTGGCGTAACAGCAGGCCCACTGACTCGACTGACTTCTCATAACGCAGCTCCTCCAGGCCTGTCCTTCCCAGGTAACTCTTGCCATGTCTCCCCATCAATCTGCCCTCAGGTATTTCTCCAGTGGGGGTGGGAGGGTCCCTCACTTTCTCCTGATATCGAGGACACCATCAAGCACCGGGGCTCTCCACCTACTATTTCTCACTCATGCTGTGTATGCCGTCTTCTCTCCTCATCATACTTTACTTCCCTGGCACACTTTAATCTGGTTCTTTGTTGACTTTCCTTATTCATCAGATACCATACCCTGCTTCCCCTGAGACCGAGCACCGACTCGGCCCTCTGTGGGACACTCAAATATTGCTGAGTGGTCCTGGGTCCCCCCGAGGAGGCTCTCTCAGGTTTGATGCGGTGAGCATGACATCATCTGCCACGGGCCTACTCCTGGGACCTCAGCCCTGACAGCACGGAACATCTATCTCTGTTTCATGCCTCATCTGGTACTTCCAATCAGAAAGCTGTCCCAATGCTATATCGCTCTGAGTTACGCTCCCTGTAGCCTGGGTCTCCTCTATGCACACTTGGCTCAAGCCAACTGCTTTTCCCTTCTTTATTTTCTATGGTACCATTTCTATTTCCTCTACAAGCACATCTAAGACTGAGATGTTAATGGTCCAAATAGTTTGGATTTAATGTTCTTGATGCTTTTTGTTTTTTAAAGTCCAGTAAAATTTTTTGCTGATCTTCCCCATTTGGCCCTAAATGCCTCTGGGCTGACTGTGCTTAGCTGGTTCTCTCAACAACCTTTCTTTAAACTGGTTTTATTCTCCATCGCTTCGCTTTTTTGAGGTTATAGGACTCATAATCCTCAACTGTGTTTCTCAGGGAGATTTCACAAATTTTAAAATCTGTATATTCACCTATTTTCAATCTAGTGTTACCACTGACTGTCATATCTACCAGCTGTCAGGTGGGTTAGGTAGTAGATCACTAAAACACTTTTTTAAGCTCTTTCATTTTCACACTATTTTACAATGTTTACATTTCCACATGAAATTATTCATCTGTATCTATGTCCTTCTGACTATATCCTAATTTCTAACAATAACTTGCTTGAATAAGGCCCGAGTTGTTTCAACTACATCCCATATAGCTTTTCTCCTTTTTATTCTTTCTCCTCTCTTTGCACTAATTTTGGTCTTCACTCTAACAAGTCTGTGGTCACTGAAAACTGATTCAGTAATGACTCATACATCAGTAATGCATTGTTTCCTATCTGTTAAAATACAGGGAGCTTCACGTTCATGATCCTATTCCCCTACTGATTCTTTTCTTAAGAAAGCACTGAAGATATCTAGGCACATGGCTTCTGTGGTCTCTGGTTCCTCAAACCCTATTTTCCAATATGGTTTCTGCTGTCCTCACCTGTTCCTACCCTTGCACTGAAGTCATTAACAAAGTACATGCTAATTTCATTTGGAGGACCCAGTTCTTCCCAGAAATCCTGTACTTCTTCATTCTAAGCTAGATTATTCTCAAGGTTGTCTTTCTGCAAGTACTGAAATATGAGTTGACCAAATGGCCCATGAAATGATGTTTCTTGTGGCCTTAGGGCATGTGTTAAAACCTACTCATCCAATGGCATTATTTACCAAGGCTAACCTATGAGGCATTCTTCTACTTAGACAAAACTTCCTTCTCTCTTCTGGTTTCACTTACAAAAGAGGTTCTTAACCAAGGGTCCGTGACCTTGTTTTTAAAAATTACTCTGATAACTGTATTTCAATACTATGTTCCTTTTGTGTTTTATTTTATGTGTTTAAGAAAATACGATTATGTATGATGAATGCACGTATAGTTGAAGGAAAGGAAGGGATTAAGATACTATTTCTTTACTATAAAATGTCGTCTCTGCAGTGGATGGGTTTCTGATATTTTGCCTTTAGGGGAGACACAAATAAAAGCTTTTTGAAATGAATGAACGAAAGAAAGAGAGAGAGAGAAAGAGAGAAAGAGAGAGAGAGAGAGAGAGAGAGAGAGAGAGAGACAGAGAGAGAGAGAGAGAGAGAGAGAGAGAGAGAGAGAGAGAGAGAGAGGAAAGAAAGAAAGAAAGAAAAAAAGAAAATATGATTATGATAAGGGGCCTATAGGCTTCACCAGACTGCCAAAGTCACAAGTATCTCACATTTAGAATGCCAGCAACTATTTTAAAGTTCACTCGGTCTAAAAACTGTGATTCTTCGCCTCTACCCCCTTTCAACCACCTTGCCACTGTCATGACAGAAACAGGAGGAGGATGCAGAGGACCAAGAGCCATTTTATACTCTCTGTTTTGCGGCTTGTCGCGGCCCAGGAAGTCACGACCCAAAGTGCCTAGGCCAAAGGGCAAGAACATCTTTGTGTTTAGCGAGACTGGTCTGTTGTGGGACTACCCTTGAAGTCTGCCCAGACTAGTGTAAGTTGGTGAAGTTGGCACTCTGCTGGCACGGCTTTTGAGAACTCAGTCATTACCACACCAGGAGAAACCATCAGGCAGAACTCTGTGAATGAAAAGAGTTACTCTGGAGAAATCACTGCCTCCCGGATCAAACACAAAGCCCTCCGTTGGCCATTTAAAGTCCTTCACAACCCGGCTCCCTCCTACCCTTCCAGTCTTATACCTTCCTGCCCTCACTGACTGTCCCCAAGGCTCAGAATTCTCTCCTCCCTCACTTGGACCTCCTGATGGCCTCAAAGTCTCAGCTAAGATCCCACCTTCCACAAGAAGCCTTTCCCAGTCTTCCTCGATATTAGCGTCTTCCCTCTGAGATTCTCTCTGCTTTATTCTCTATATAACTTCCCGGCAGATAGATGTTGGCACACTGTCTCTCCCCACTAGACTGTGAACTCCCTGAGGGCAGTAACTGTGTTTGCCGTTTCTGTCTCACCAGTATGTAGCACAGTGCCTGGCACACAGTAGGGGCTTAATAAATGCTTGCTGACTTGCCTCCAGATAGGATTTTTGCCATCATTTCAACCATCTATCCAAATAAGCAACGTTTCTGTACTATTACAAAGTAACAAGATCACGATTGTGAATTTCACCTCTTCTCTCTCTGCTTACATTTGAACTGAGGTGGGAGAAACAATCTTTGGGAAAATAAGCCCCTCCACAACAGAGATGACTAAATCAGCTAGCCCTCACACGTAAACAGAAGTCAGTACAACATCAAGCTAAAACCACTCTTCCCTCTCAGTGACTTGATAACTACAAGAAAACGATTTTTCAGATGGCTCCTCCCACAACCTGCCCAGAGCCTAGAGAAGCAGAGCAGCCTAACCAAAAGATGACTGGACCTGAATGAGACGACCTGTGTTCCAGACCTACTTCCGCCTCACAACGCCGACCTTCACGTTTCTCATTCTGTGAAACTGGGTTAATAACAGTTACTAATACTGATCTCAGAGGGCTGCCATGAGGAGACCAGTGTCAACCCAAAATACAATATGAATGCAAGCTGCTGTCACCACCACCACCACCGCCATCGCCAGCGCCATCATCAACAACATGAACTCTGGCCTACCTGAGACAATTTTGCAGCTCATAGTGATCGGCTGAAAAGATTTTCCAGGAGACTCAGGATTTGGAACTTGACCTTGTGGCACAATTTTGCAACTGGCTGCTATTGGCTGGAATGCTGAATTACCATGAGAGCCAAAGGTTACCCTCTGGGATGACACCGATTTTGTGGGTGTACGTTCCACTGAAGATGGCAAAGAGTAAAATGCTGTGGGTCTGTCAGCTTCAGTTTTTGCTTGGAAACCTGAATGAAACAGGTAAAACAAGAAATGATGATACAGTACCTCACTACCTAACCAAGAAGAAAAAGATGAGTCACAAATAAAACACTCCAAGTTTTCTGTCAGCTTGTGTTCCCTTTCAGATATCTGCTAGCAGCAAATGACATAAGCCATTTTTTTCCACTTGCTACTAAAAGGTATTATTTTTCATGGAAAAACCAGTGAATGTTCTGGAGAACAGAAAACAAAACATACCCCTGTTATGGCAGAGAACTGAGGGCCTACTAAGACAAAATGCTGTCTACACTGCCAGATGTGGTTACGGTATCAGGTATTTTTACTTGTTTTTTTTAGTTTAAAACGTTATCATTCTGAGGGAGTGAAGAGTTAACTACAGCAAACTGCATACTCCAGTCAACACACAAGAAAACAAATTAACTGCAACCCACATGCACAGCACAAAGGTCACTCTCTTCTGTTTTGATTTATGCTGAAAAACTGCTCCAATTCGGTAGGGAACTTAACGTAAAGAGAAAATATTCATGCACACTTCAAAGACTTCAGCCAACATCTATAAAGTGACCACTCCATGAAAGGCACTGTGCCAGATACTAGAGATACACAAAGAATGAAATCAGTTCCTGCTCATGAGGAGCTCCTTGGGATTGCCTCACTTTTGTATCCCTCGTGAGCCACTTGACTGACCTTCTTGGGGGTGTGTGTGTGTGTGTGTGTGTGTGTGTGTGTGTGTGTGTGTGTGTGTGTGTGTGTGTGTGTGTGTAAGTGACCTGTCCTGCCCTCTACTCTAGGCATTCTGTATGATGAGGCTAAGTTTGATGTCACTTCATTGCGTGCAGACCAGCCCTCTGGCACTGCAAATGTATAAGAAAAAGGCCTTCCTGACACCTGTTTGAAATACTACCCATCAACCACTCAAGGGTATGAGTGTCCTAGATATAATACTGATGAAGACACATTCATCTGTCCACTGAAAAACTACCTACTAAATACAAATTCCACGTGAAGTATGCTAGACACTGGAAGGAGTTCTGGTGAAGAAGACCTAATTTTTGCCCTCACAGTGATCACAATCTAGGAGGGATGACAGTCAGTGCACAAATGCTAGAAACCTATACTTTTATTAATATTTCAAGGATTAGTGATTTCTCTGGGCAGAGATGGGAAAGTTCACAAATAGTTCAGTTTGGCTACAGTGGGTTATACATGGAAGGACACGGACCAGGGGATGGAGGACAAGGAGTTTGGTGTTTATCAGGGGGATGCAAGCAGAGAAACGGCACGACCTAGATTCATGCTTGGCAGATGAATCCGTGAGTGTCTAAAGCAGGGGAAATGCTCCAGAAGGAGCAGTCAGCAAGGAGGTAACAGCACCCAGAAGAACACACATGATGTTACCTTTCTCCACAGCAGCATCAGGAATAGGCTCTTGTGGAGGCTTTCTGGGAGAAGCAGCTTTCACCGGGGCTGGCATGGGCAAAGGCAAAGACGAAGGGGCATCGGAGACATCGCACTCTGAGGACTGAGGATAAAGGTGGTCTTCTCCAAGGGAATGCCGATGGAGCTCAACATCCACTACCTGGAAGACATGAAAACATGTGCTCGAATTACTCACCAACATCCTGAAAGGCACCAGGGCCTGCCTGATAATGTGGTGCCCCAGATCTGCAAAGTGACAGACGCCAGGCCCACAATCGGAAGGGGTGGCAATTAGGCCTCTTTTTAGAGGGCACCAGCTACCCATCTGCATGTCTCACATGCAAAAGGGGAGGCCTACCCTTGAAACACAGCTTCCCATCCCAGAGTGACTCCTGAGACTGGAAAGGAAGCTTCCATGCCATCTGATTCAGGGTGTCGCCATCAGAAACAACCATACCTATGTCGCCCAGCAGTTAAGAATTTATGATCTCAGTGAAACCTGGACCGTATCTCATTGGCATGGGCACTTTCTTAACAGAGTGGTACAAAAGAATCCATAAAGAATTAACAACAAATATCTGCACAGTGCTTTAAGGCTTGTAATGAAAGATTTTCCATAAACTTAAAATGAAGTTACACAAATACCAACGCTATACTAGGTTCTCCAAAAAACATTACAGAAGTATTAGACTACTCAAATAGAACCGATGCTCTTCATTCACTAACTTCAAGCAGAAGTAATAATTTCACATAACAGCACTTTTTACTATTTTATCCCACTCAAATATTTTTATGAACACTGTCACAGATTTTTATAACATTTTAGTATTCACATCACCTGAGATAATAAAACTGAGTTACAGAGATGTCAAAGTTCCTGTTGTTCAGTGATCAGTTCTAGGTCCATGAATAGGACTTTAGCTTTCTAGACTCCAAATATTTCAATGCCAATTTCTATATTACAGCTACTGGGCTCTGAGAAGGGAATACTGTCAGAGAGTTATTAGCTCAGCAGAACACATTACTAACATGACAACAACCAGATGTTTGCACGGTCCCAGTTATCCTTACAAAGAAAAATTCCAGAACAGTCAGACTGGATCCCTCCACTTAACCTCAATTATCCACGTCATGAGCTCGTGACAGGTTATAAAGGAAACTACGCTGCCTCTTTTATATATACACACATACACACACACACACAACACACACACACAACACACACACAAAGAATGAATTCAAGAAACCAGTCCCCACTACTGGAAAAAATAACTCAGATCATCCCCTACCACAAATGGGTCAACAGTATCTTACCTGACGTTTAGGGGCCACTGGTATTAAGGGAGAGAAGAGACTTTCCAGGCTAAGATTCTGACTTTATCCACTAAGCACACTGAAGCTCAGGGAGGCAGCATGCCCTAGTGTGGGATAAACTGCAGGGCTAGGATTCAAAAACCAGCACCATCTATTAATTTTTTTTCCTATTTCAATACTAGGATACTACCCTGCTCATCAGTCCAGTAATATTTTCCTAAATAAAAATGGATTCAGCTTTCCTTCTCCGGCTATTACAGCAAGTGCTTTAACATGCAGAGCTTTTTAGAGCACTGTATCATATCACAAATGCCAAAGAAGCAACAAGAACATGACTTCCAATCCACTCACTCGTCGCTATACAGAACATTTTAGGAAAGAGCATACCGTCTCAGCACCTAGAGTCTGCAGGCCAGTGTAAGTTCTGTCCAGCTGTGGGGAGAGAAAGAAGCACAAGTCATTTATGTCAAGTGCCCAGGGACCCATAAACTTCAGAAAACATCCAGTACCCTTGAGAGCAGGCCTCCACACACAACAGTCTAGGGCTGTTTAAAAGTCTGCCAGCAGGCTCCTTTTCTGTTCAGAGGACTGGGAAATATGGCAAACGCTGGGAACATTCTGTTACTATCTTCTTAATTCTTCAAGGATCTGAGACCTATCTTTCTTATAAATTTGACTGAGTTCTCATATTTAAGAAATGAGGCCTTTATCAGAGAACCCTGTAGTAAAATTTTTTTGAGTTACAATTACGGTGTATTTCCCTCCATTCTATTTTTCCTCACTTATGCTACTCTCTCTCTCTCATCCTCTCAAAAGTCTTTTGCTTCTGATTACCGCCTTCCCCAATCTGCCCTCCCTTCTACTATCACCACCTTCCCACCTTCTCTTATCCCCTTTCCCTCCCACAGCTCAGAGTGAGTGTAAACAGCAATTGTTTCTGTTCTGGCCAGAAACCCTGAGGGTCTTCCCCTCCCAGATCGTTTTTTTTTTTTTTTGACAAGGTAAAAGAGGCCATTCTTTGCCTCATTTCTTACCTAGCCTCACTCACCAAACGGATGTTGCCTCAGACAAAGTGAGACCTGGGAAAGACCTTAGCTTAAAAAGGCCAAGAGATCCCACTGGGGGCCACCTCCAGTGCTCCTGAGCTATATCTTGCCACTTCACCCACATGGCTCCTGAGGAGCACAGCCCTGCTGCACTTAAACTAATTCACTTGCAAGTCATGACATCACCTTCTTGATGTCACTGGTCCTCTTGGAGGACAAACAACAATGTGAGATAATTTACCTCCCCCTTACCTCGACTCCCACTTTATTCCTTTCTCACCTTTTAATTTTATTTTTTAAGATATTATCCCATCATATTCAACTCACATCCATGCCCTCTATTTATGTACACTCCTTCTAACTGCCCTAACAAATGATACAATTCCTAGGAGTTACAAGTACCATCTTTCTATTTAAGAATGTAAACAGTTTGACCTTATTGAAGCGCTTGTGATTTTTTTCCCGTTTACCTTTTTATGCTTTTCTTGAATCTTGTATTTGAAGGTCAAATTTTCTATTCAACTCTGTTCTTTCCATTAGGAATGCTTGAAAGTCCTCTATTTCATTGAATGACCATTTTCCCCCCCGGAAGGATTATACTCAGTTTTGCTGGGTAGGTGATTTTTGGTTGTGATCCTAGCTTCTTTGCCCTTCAGGATATCATATTCCAAGCTCTCTGATCCTTCAATGTAGAAACTGCTAAACTGTGTTATTCTGACTGTGGCTCCATGATATTCAAATTGTTTCTTTCTGGCTGCTTCAACACTTTCTTCTTGACTTGGGAGCTCTGGAATTGGACTATACTATTTCTGGGAGTTTTCATTTTGGGATCTTTTCCAGAAGGTGACCGGTAGATTCTTTTCGTTTCTATTTTACCTTCTGGTTCTAGAATATCAGACCAGTTTCCCTTGATAATTTCTTGAAAGATGATGTCTAGGCTCTTGTTTTGATCATGGCTTTCAGGTAGTCCAATTATTCTTTTTTTTTTTAGTCCAATTATTCTTAAAAATTATCTCTCTTCAATCTATTTTCCAGGTCAGTTGTTTTTCCAATGAGATATTTCACATTTTCTTCTATTTTTAAAAATTCTTTTGATTGTGTTTTATTGTTTCTTGATGTCTCATGGAGTCATTAGCTTCCATTTGCCCAATTCTAATTTTTAAGGAATTATTTTTTTCCATGAGCTTTTATACCTCCTTTTCCATTGGGCCAATTCTACTTTTTAAGAAGTTCTCTTCAGTGGATGTTTGTGCCTTTTTTATCTTATTGATAATCTGTTTTTTAAGGTATTATTTTCTTCAGGTTCTTTTTTTTAATGCCTCCTTTCCTAGGCTATTGACTCTTTTTTCATGATTTTCTTGTATCACTGTCATTTCCTTTCCCATTTTTCCCTCTATCTCTCTTATCTGATTTTTATACCCCTTTTTGAGTTCTTCCAGGAATTCTTTTTGGGCCTGAGACCAATTCCTATTGTTCTTTGAGGCTTTGGATGTAGCACTCTTGACTGTTGTCTTCTGAGTTTGTGTTCTGATCTTCCTTACCACTAGAGTAACTTTCTATGGTCAGGTTGTTTTCTATTTTTCCAGCCTATTTATGGAATTTTAATTTTATGGTAAAGTTCGGTTCTGCTTCTGGGGTAGAAGGGCACTATCCCCAAGCTTCAGGTTTTTTGTACAGCTGTTTTCAGAGCTAGTTAGGGGTGGGGTGGGGTGGGGTGAGACAGAGTGTCTGTAAGTTTTCAGTTTTTCCAAAGTGCTATGATCTAAGGAAAAGTGTGTTTACTACTCTCCTGGCCTGTGAGTGACTTCTGCCCTAAAACTGGGGCCCTAATCCCCCTGCACCACAAGGTCTGGTGTGCTAATTACTCCTCCTATGCCTGCAACTACAACCTAGGTCTGCATATAGGCAATGCACCAGACGTCTGCAACCAGTGCCAGTAAAGGAATCCCTGTAGTTTCCTTCTGACAGGCTGTCTGACACCTCCCCCTGCACCCCAGAGCTGGCCTAGAACTCCACAAGCTGCTGCTGCCAATTCAGTTGCCCCCCCAGGCCTGCTGCTGGTTTGCCAGGGCATAGTTTGTACTAGATTGTGCTCTAATCATACCTCAATGAGACATTCCTTTTCTTCTGACCTTTTATGTTGTCTTGGGCTGGAAAAATTGTCTTACCCCACTGTTTTGTGGGTTCTGCTGCTCTAGCATTTGTTTTGAGGCATTATTTTAAAGTCATCTGTAGGGGAATATGGGAGAGCTCAGGGGCGTCCTTGCCTTTTCTCTGCCTTCTTGGCTCAGCCTGTGAACTTTCCTTCAAACTCCCCTCTCATCCCCTCTCCCATATATCCTTGTTCCGAGAATGGACATAAGGATCATCCCTGCATCTTTGGGAAGACTTAATCAAATTTCCCAGGCCTCCCCTGAACACAGCCTTTGAAAACCCAGGGTCACCTCCACTAAATACTGAAGTGTGAGGGTAGGAAAGTATAAATTGAGGAAAACTAATAAACCACCTGTGAAAGTGCTTGCTGCAGTCCAACATCAATGAGATTAACAAATCATTCTTTAGGCAATTAGCAAAGGGATCATTTATTACTTTTTCTTATCTACGTAACAGACACAGTTACTTGTTCATCCAAGGGCACTGCTTCTTTGAGACAAGTCTACTAGAAAGGAATCAGGATAGTCCCTGGCCCTTCTTAAAAGGAGTACCTGAGAGGCCACATCTGTCCTGTCTTTCCTCCTGATCTTTTCTATTAAACTGCCCAGCTTACAACGATGCAGAATGATTCAAGGACTCCAAACATCCAAATTCCCTTATAATCACGCACATCACCACAGAGGAAGTATTTACTGAACGCTGCCATCGTAAAGCACGGTGCTGGGAACCGTGAGGGAACATACAAGGCATAGTTCCTGACTTTCAGAGAATCAATTAACCAACTGACAAGCTTTTATTAAGCCCCTATTACATACCAGGCACTATACCAAGTGCTAGGGATAGGAAGATAAAAATGAACAGTCCCTCCCCTGAAGGGACTAGTCAATCAAGGGAGATGACTTGCACCTGGCAGCAGTAATAAGGAAGTTCATAAGAGGGGAAGATCTAGAATGAAAGAGAATGAGTTCAAATCTGGACAGAAAGTATAAGATGTCTATGACATCCAGTTTGAAATGTCCAACAGATGACCAAAGATGCAAGACTGGAGGTCAGGAGAGAGATGATGGCTGGATAAACAGAACTCAGAATCTGAAGAGAAATGATAACTGAATGCAACAGAGCTGAGGCAATCACCAAACAAAACAGTACGAGGAGGAAATGAAGAGGGCTCACAGCAGAGCCCTGAGGAAACCCATCAGCAGCAGAGGCTACCTGGATGAAGATCCAGCAAATGAGACTGAGGAGGAGAAGCCAGGGAGAAAGGAAGGGAACGAGAGGCTCCAAGAAAAGGAGGGGGATCAACAGCGTCAAAGGCTGCAGCAAGATCAAGAGTAAGCACTGAGAAAGACCACCAGACCGAGAATCAGGAGAACTTTCAGAGCTTTAAAGAGCAGTTAGAGAGCAGATTCATCCGATGCTGGACTACAGAAGTTAAGAAGGCGGCAAGAGGAAAGGAAACAGAAACACTGTAGACAAACTTCTCAAGGGGGTTAGCCACAAAAAGGAGAGGTACAGGATTATGGCTCAGGGATGGAAGAATCATGAGGGTTTTTTGAGGCCAGGAGAGACACAGCCATGTTTGTAGAGAGTGGAGAAGGAGCCAGTAGACGGGGAGAAACTGAAGATAAGTGAGAGGATGGAGAAGGAAGAGGACGAGATGGAATGGGATCACCTATGCATGTACAGAGGTTTGCTTTGGCCAGGGGAATGGCCACCTCTTCTCGTGAGATAAGGGTGACAGAGAAGGTCGTTGCAGAAGGCATCTGAATGAGATGAGATGAGGCGGGGATAACAGGAAGTGTCTCAATTGTTTCAGTGAATGAGGCCCTCCTCAAAGTCCTGACAGAGAGAAAAGAGCTTGTTCTAACAGTGTTACAAGTATTTTTCTTTTCTCTTCTGTTTGTTATTCTCATTCCATTACTATCCTTAAATGCTGTCAGGGTGACTTGCCAAGCTCCGCTGCTACTCTGTCTCATACATGACCATCACTCAGAACTGTCCATACAAACAAGTTTAAGTTCTAACTGGTGCTGCCTCTGCTGGCCATCTTTGGCCTTTGGTGGCAGCTAAGTTAAGTGTTTGCTGACTAAGGTGCTTTCTAGGCTCTTGCAGCCTCTTTGCTGCGACAATTAATTACAACTGGTTATACTCCAAAACCTCCTGGTGGAGATCTGCAATGACCATCCACCCTGGAAAGAGGACGGAAAATGTTTATTGCCCATATTACAACATGCACTGGTATGGACAGTATTACAGATCCAGTGAGAAAGGCCCAGAGTAGAAAGGAGGATAACGGACTACATTTCCTTCAGCAAAACGAAAAGCCCTTTTAACAACCCCAGCTTCCCAGGAAAGCAAAAGTCAATCTTTTTAATACCAACATTCTACCGATTTTACTGCTGTATGGCAGCAAGACTAGGGATAGAAGAGCCTCTAAAGAACTGCAAATGATTTAATTATAAAAATCTCAAAGAGAGACAGAGCAGATCATGGTGGGTAAAATTAGATTGAAACATAAAACCAATAGGGAATTCCAAAGATGAGCAGGAGTAAAAGAAGTCATTAAGTTAGTATATGACAAGAAGAAAAAAAGGGAGGGTTATGTGGTGAGAGTGAAGGATGACAGGTATGGACAGCCAAAGTACTTGTGAGGTCAGGAGAAAGCAAGGAATGCCTTGAGCATTGTGGGTGGACAAAGTCATACCAAATGTGCAGGTAAAGATGAGACAGTTCCACTGAAACATCTGCATGTGACACTTACTGATTTTTTATAGCATCAAGTGACCATGTGCTTCACTATTTAGATTTTAAAAAACAGCATCCTGAGAAAGTAATTTAAAATACCAAGATACCAATGCCTATTTCTAACTTAGTAAAGACATGCCTCAAGGGGGCTTTGACACCATTCTCTAAGGCTGACAGTTGTGAATGCTGTACAAAAGGAAGGAGTTACAGATATACATGCTCTAAAGAAAATACCCAACCTGGTCACAACCAAGGACAGAAGAGCAAGTTAATTCTTAATTTATGAAAATTTAACTCAGTGGAAAATGTGCATGACATCAACCCATAAAGGGCACGTGGGGAAAGACTTCATTTATAAGGTTCAAATCATGCTGCCCTTTGCATTTAGGAAAATGCCCTTTTCAGAGTCCTCATGTCACATGGACTAGGTTGGACTTTTCACTTTAGACAAACATAAGCATAAGCATGGTTTAAAAGCCTTGCCCAAAGTCACATAACTAGCAGGCCTTTCTCCTGGATCCAGGCTATTTCCAAGAATTCTGTTCTTTGAGAATTCACACCAGTTCTTTGGAGCCACTTACCCTGGCTCCACTGTGACAGCTATAACCCGAGTGATCTTCCTCTCTGCCTCCAGAGTTCAGACGCAGGGACCCTACTGCCCTCTAGAATCTTCCACCAACCTCCTCCCACCATGACCATTCCTCCAGCCATAAAGCAAATTTGGGCATACAAATGGTGCCCACCAGCCATATTGGGGTAGCGTCATTCCAATACAATACCTTCAGGTTATGGATGATATCTATCCGCTTGTTCTGGTTGTCCTTAAAGTGAACTTGAACTCTGACTGGAAATTCACCCCAACCTCTCCTGGTCAGGTGGAAAGGAGGCTCTCTAGAGAAAAGCAGACATGGAGATTTCACCCAGACTCTTTCCCTCCTTCCTCATAAAGTAGACTGACAAACATTTCCCAATGAGAATTCTCTTAAGTCAATTCATTATTGCTGCGTTTTGCTAAAGTTAATAGGAGACAAATATGTAGTTAAATGAAATTTGCATTTGGTGTCTAAGTTCAACACTCCATTCTGCCCAACCCCATCTACTTGTACCTGCTCCAGACTAGAAATCAAATAAATAAAAGACACTTGGCTAATCTGAAGAGGGAAGGGATAAGGAGAGAGAGGAAAAAGTCTGAAAGAGTTAAGAAGATACTCAGCAAAAACATGAAGCCTTGAAAAAGGGTCCCACATAGAGAATAGTCAATTGCCTTTCTCCCCCCAAAATATGTCTGTGAACTGACAAGTGAACTCTCACTGGACAGCAACGTAAAATATTTCTACTGACTTGTAAGTTAAATCGCAGGTATTTTAAAAATTGCAGTTCATGATTCCGTTTTCCAGCAGTATTTGTTTGTTGATCGTATAAGAATCTCAGGTAGTGTGCCAACAGCTGAACTCATGTTCACAGATAGTCTAAAAAATACAAACGGCTTCTTAGCAGCCTCTGCTCCTCTTGCCACAGCCACTAGGGAAGAAAGGGCCAGGTGATGGGGATGGACTGAGGGCTCTGGGCACTTTTCTTTGTTTAATGAGCGCTATCGCCAGAGGTCATCACCAAGCAGACAACCCAACGGCTACTGAGTTCTCCGTATTACAGTAGGTTGTTCCTCAGATAGCAGACATGATTTGTTGCTGAGACCATACTTGAAAGAAAAAAAAAATCATGGAAAGAACTCAGTTGGGTGGGTTCTTCCCCTCTGATGGATTTATGGGATGACAAAGACGAGCTACAAAGGGTAGTTAGGCATGAACGAACTGGAATCTACATCTCTGGAAGGAGTACCCGTATTGATGACATCACAGATTTACTGCAATATTAGAGAAATACAAGATAAGGGGAAGAATGCCTTTAAAGCACACATGTAAATTCCTGACCAAGGAAGAGGAAAATACATCCAAACTGTGAGGAGGTAATCCTTAGTATCAAAGAAACGTAAAATTTTGAGTTCTAGTTGAGAAGAGTTAAGTGGGCTCTGGCAAGCATGACCAAAAGCAAAGGACAGAACCCAAAAGCATACACAGCCTCACAAATACTAGGACAGCATATGTGAAGTACAAGGGAAGAAGACAGAGCCTGCCACTAGGGCAAAACTACCGTCATCAACACTATTAAGACTAAAAAGGAAAACTGCTGAAAAATAAAATACCTAGTACATTTCAATAAAAAAAAAAAAAAACCAGGGCCTGCATCACAGACCAGAGAAAAGAGGGGATTCTCCAGGTAGGCAAAACCAGTTAGACACCAGCCAAGATACTGAAGGAGCTGGCTAAAAGTCAGCAGCTAGAAAAGAAAACTTGGAGCAAAACAATAACAACGATAAAAACCCCACCCAGTCCTCCAGTGATGAGAACAGAGCCTCTAGGGAGTGGATCAATTGGGAACCAGGGCATGGAAGTAGCATGGATCAACCGAGTGGAGGGAGCCCAGGAGCTAAAAAAGAATCATGATACAAGCTCCCTCCTGGCCCAGCGTGGTGCTGTCCGTGGTGCCCAGCGTGGTGCTGTCCGTGGTGCTAAGTAAGGTCAACACTACTTAAAGTTGACCTTAACAGAAGAGAGTTCAGACCTAGGAAGCCTGTTACACTATCATGAGGCTTACCTGCACATCTCAACTGTCTGCAGGCATTAGGCCTTTACAGAGAGACGAAGGCAACGGTCAGGCCCCAGGGGCAGGGTTTTATACGGCAGACGTAACCCCAAATCTTAGAGATCCATCAGCTGACACTGCTTATGAACATTTTCCTTCAGAGACTTTTCAGTCAAGTAGCTATTTATATTAATAGATGACTTTCTTTGACGATAAAATACTGGTTCCTATCAATTACGCTGCTAAATTCCCCATCAAAGTGTTAGAGCAACAACGGCCAGGAGAGTCAGCCTAGGGATACTCTGTTAAAAACAGATGAGTGATTTTCACAGCCCCAGAACAAGTCCCACTGCGAAGGCGGGGCCTGAATAAAGCAGCAGGCGGACAGAGAGCCTAGGAAGGCAACACCTGAGCAGAAGACTTTTACTTTGAAAACACTTTCCAGCTTTTGGGAGGGAGCACGCCCACAGTAGAAAGACTAAGGAAGACTCAAGTTGAAGTTTTGCCTTGGGGGTGTCATCAGAAATTGTCAAAGATGCTACAGAGAGTGTACCTGGCAATTCTATCAAGTGAGAAAAAGACTTTACAGGAAAACCAACAGACTCTGCATGCTTCTAGCAGGCACAAGATGATTCAGAGCAGTGTGAAAACAAATTTGTACTTCTGATCCAGACACAGGATTAACATTAGCCTTTCTTATAGCTGCAACAGACCCCCGTTAGTCAGACTCCCATCACATAACTGGATTGTGAACTATGGGTACATTTAAAGTCAGAGCTCAAGAGAGGGATTCCAAGTGAGACATCAAGAAAAGGGGATTAAACAGAGAAAGTACAGGAAAAATGAGCACAGCTGTCTGTGTGTATGTTTGCATGTGAGATCCTTCCTGTGGCATGGCCACACTACTTAGTGAGAAACATGACCAAACATCATAAGAACGACCACCAGAAGCTGCTAAGAACAAAGCTACCGTCAGCCAGGATGTGTGAAGGCCTTCCCCTTGCTTTCGCCCAATCAGGGAGGCTCACATTTTGAAAAGCTGCCCCTTAGCCCCTTCCAGAATGAAGGCTGGATTCTCAACTTCTATCGACCTCAGGCAGATCTGGATATTGGTGCAGCCCCACTCACCCCCAGACAGTGTCCATGGGGCACAGGAATCTATGATGAGTGACACGCATTCCTGAAGCTAGCTCAGCTTCAATCTTCTGCCCACCCCAACTCCCTCCTCTCTTGCTACCTTTCCGATTTCATCTTATTGGGTCAATAGAGCTCTTCCCCTAGAGCAAAGCTTCTTAACCTACTCTGGGTCCCAGAACTCTTTGGTGGTGGGCTGCAAAGCCTAGGGACCCCTTCTGGGAACCTTGTTTTCAAACAGATAAAACAAATGACAAGACAATGTTGTCAAATAGTTAAATAGTTAAAATAACCCCCCCCCATACTGAGAGATCCAAATATCTAAAAAACAGAAACAGAAACAAACAAGCTCCTGGGCCCCAGAAGAAGCACCTCTGCTACTCTGTGTTTCAGAATCTCAGGGCTGGGGAACTTGTGGCCTTAATAAAAAGATTTGTTCTGTAAAACTTGGATTCGGTCAAAAGGCCGTCCCCAAGGACCTAGAGGGCCACATGTGACCTTAAGGCCGCAGGTCTCCCACCCCTGCTCTAGACCTTCTGGACAGAAGTCTTCTATTTTTCTTGATTTTCTTTCTTCTCTCCTTTTCCTAACTTTCCATTCCAGTGGTTTATTCCTAATTACAAAAAAGCTTAAAATGACTCTTCTTTTTTTTTCCCCCTGTTGGGCAATGGGGGTTAACTGACTTGCCCAGGGTCACACAGCTAGTTAAGTGTTATATGTCTGAGGCCAGATGTGAACTCAGGTCCTCCTGAATCCAGGGAAGGTACTCTATCCACTGTGACACCTACTTGCCCCTAAAATGACTCTTCTTACTGTAAGTATTATTATTTGAAGTTTAGTTACAAAGTTTTACTTATCACAGTGCTACTTCTCCAAAATTTCCATTTCAATGCTTACGGAGAGAGATCTAATAAAAGTTAATTTTTTTTACTGAGAATGTGCAAACTAAACATTCTGAAACAAAGACAAACTTTACAACAATTGGGAATTCAGAAAAATGCTGACACAATTAGTGTTTATACTATTTTCTTAGCACAGACAAGGCAAGAGAGAGCATCAGCTTAACTGCTAAGATCTCGGACATTTAGCCAAAGCTACTTCTTCAGCACCAAAAGAAAAAAACATTTTAAGTTCTCTCCCCAAATCAAATTGTCTTTTTAATCACCAACACCAGTTTTGTGAAAGTTCTGGCACTAACAGTTAATGAACCATTCAAGACTTCCTTAACAGAAGCCTGCAGAAAACAATGAGGCTCTCTGAGTGATGTGACAAGGGGACCTCAACATACAGGCCTCCCCTTAGCACCATCGCTGTCACCGTCACACAGGTCTGGGGCTCAGCACAAAGTCACTTACAAGGGCAAGGACAGGTTAGGTCTGGGAACTACCCCAGGGAGAAAGCCTACCCCTTCCATTTCCCTCATGGTGCTAAACCCTGTGGCAAGGCCCACACCACACTGCCCTAGTTACAACTCTGCTACTTATATTAATGTGTTTGGCAAAAATTGGGACCTGAAACTATTAATCTGGCAAAGAGCCAGATCCCAGAGAAGTGCTTCTAATGTAAGACATTAGGGTCACCATATTTCTCTTCCATTTCAAGATAAGAGTATAGTAGAAAGACCCCGAGAATAGGCACCCCATTCTAGCCCCAGCTCTACCACTAACAAGCTGTGTGAATTTGGGCAAATTACTTATCCTTTCTCTGCCTTGGTTTCTTCATGTGTAAAAAGTGGCCGGGTTAGATGAACTTTAAAGTTCCCTCTGCTTCTGCAATTTTATGAAATGTTTAATGCTTCATTACATAACAGGATAACTTCCATTTGCCACCAGCTGCTCTGCTGGGTTTCCACATCATCCCCCCCCCCCACCTGCTCTAGGAAGCCTCTGGCAGCTGTGGGGCTGTCTTTCCCCATTAGACTGTAAGCTCCTCAAGGCCAAGGACTGTCTCTCATTTGTATCCCCGGTGCTGGGCCCAGTGCTGGCCCATCATAAGGGCTTAATAAACGTTTACTGTGTGACATCATGAGCCTGCTCACCGAACTTCCACCAGGTCATTCGGTTTATAGCTGGGGTGGAGAAAGAACCACACTTTCTTCACAAAGTGATTGATACTGGGCTCTCTCCGGGAGCCCCGCACATACACCATCCACTTGTGAGTTGATTGGTCATTTTCTTCTCTCTTATCAGGGGGAATGTACCTGGCAAGAAAAACAAAACCAAACTGTTACTTGTCAGAAGACATGCTCAAAACTACTTACTCTCTGCTGTTTTCAGGAAAGCTGGAGTTCAAGAATCTTCCAAAGCTGCATCAGTGGAATAAACATAACAAAACTCATTTAGCTTCTTCTTTCCAGAAAGAAGTTTGGATGTCTACAGAACAAGCTTATGTTTAAGGTAAAAAAAAGTGTCAACATGTATTTTTAGTTAATAATAATAATAACAAAAAAAATTCAATACATTGTTTTGCTGCCAGGGTGCATGGGTGACCAAATTAACTGTTATCCTTTATCGTGGAATGGAGAACGACCAGCCACTGACCAGATCTCCACTAGGCCTTGCTCCTCTCCATGATACCGATCACTATGGATGTAAATAAAACAGCAACAACAATAGGTAGCTTTGAGGGTTACAAAGCATTTTACATACATTCTCTTACCTGATTCTGACAACAACCTTGTGAGGTAGTTCCATTATTATCTCCATTTTACAGATGAAGAAACTGAGGTGGAAGTTCAGTGACTTGTCTAGGATCACACAGCTTACTCTAAGTAGATGAGGCAAGATTCAAACCAAGTAGGCGGTGAAACGGAGAGTCAGGAAAACCTGAGTTCATTTCCAGCCCTGTCTGTCTTCCTCAGTTTCCTCAACTGTAAAATGGGGATCATAAGAGCAACTCTCCGCCAGGGTTGTTGTGAGTATCAAATGAGATCCCATGTGTAAAGTGGTTTGTACAATTCCTAGCACACAACAGACATTTAACCAATGTTGCTGTCCTTCCTTCGATCCTGAGACTCCATGTCCAACACTGGGTCACCTAGCTGCCTCAATTTCTACTGCCAGTAATCTACTCTGGTTATCCCATGCAGAACGAAGGCCCTGTCAATGTAAGGATTAAAACAGTTAAAAGGCTATGAACACTGTGGTTAACCAACAAATCAAAATTCCAAAGGATACTACGTAACAGTTCAAATAACTTTAAGTACCACAGTAATACAGCAATGGGCTATCCTAGAATATAGGTGGCTTGCTGAAAATAAGATCTCTTTGAAAGGAAAAATGTGTAAGTAAATGTGGAAAATCAATTACATAGAACAAATGCATTAAAAACACTTCTATTTGGGAGGAAGCTATATCTTTTTCAAAAAACAAGTAAGTTGCAGGAACTTAAAAAGAAAGCCAGGAAAGGGATGAAATTCAGAGTAACAAACAAAAAGGAAAGCTGATTTTTTTTTCTAGCAATAGCCTTGAAGAAGGAGCAGGCAAATCAGGGGAGACAAGTATGGGGCCCATCAGGAAATCAGGAAGCTGACTGAAGGATGGAGAGGCTTGGTGTCCTTCAAAGGGCTAACAATTAAGCAAGTTTCCAAAATGCAATCCTGCCTATGCCCTTCCACCTTTTCAATTCTCCATTTCTGTCCTCACTGTTCAACACAGATAGACCTACTGGACTAGCCCAATGCGTGGTCCGCTCAAACTTCCATCGTCGCCTGGACGACACCAATTCTTCAGCTACTAGCCTTCTCTTCAGTGATTCCTGACCTAGCCCAAGCCACCCCATATCTGGTTTGTGCATCCTGATGCACGTGTTAAGCTTTAAATCTTGAGGGCCAGGACTGCTCTGCCTCCATTGCCACAGTGCCTTGCGCAGGGCCTGGAACAAGGGAGGTGCTCGCTGCTTCTTGGCTGACTGAAAAGCAATTCGTAAACACTGAAGCATCAGTTACTATCATCCGGACTTTTCGTATCAAACGTTACTGTGAATAAGAGGGTCATTAATTAAGACCTACAAATCTTTGGATAAATGGAGCTTTTTACTGGCATGCTTTCTGCTGTAACAGAATTTTACCTCTGTTGGGTTTTTTCTATTTCCCTTGTTTTCCTAGATAATGACAACATTTCTAATGCATACGAAAATTTTAGTAACTCGGACTGTCAAGGGCATCATCATCCTCCCTGTCCCCAGGTTCACGACCTCAGTGTTACCCTTAGTTCCTCACACTACTCACCCTGCCATAGTTGATCCGCTGACAAATCTTGTTTTTTTCTACCTCCACCCACAGCCTCTTCTCTCCACGCACAGAGCCACCGGCCTCACTCAGGACCACAGCTGGACTAATGTTCATCTCCATGACCTGAGTCGTGCCCCACATCGATCCATCCTCCACACCAAAGCCAAAAGGACTTCCTAGAATCTTAATTCTGACCACGCTGCACTCGCCTCACTTTTAATAGTGGCTCCAGACTATCTCCACGATCAAACTGCCCAGGCCTCTGCTTGGCGCTTAAAGCATTTCACAGCCCAGCCCTCTTCACCTTCTTGGTTTTCTTGTACTTCCTATCCCTCCACACTTTCCACTGTCCCACAACATGGCCTACCTGCTGGCCCTGGCCCATAATGCTCCAGCTTTGCCTGACTATCTCCCACAGCAGCTGGCTGGCCGGGAATGTCTGCCCTCCTTGACTATTAGAATCTCTGGCTTCTGTCAAGACTCAAGTGGAATGCCACCTTGGTAGGAGACCAAGACAGCAGTCACCTTCCATCTACCACAGCTCTGCCTCGTACAGTAGCCCTGACTGACCCTCTGTCTCTCCTATTAGAAGGGAGAGCTCCTTACTGAGCCCCTTGGGGCAGGGAGGGTTAACTGCCTTTCTCTGCAACCCCAGTTAGCCCAGCTCCAAGTACTCATAAGTGCAACACAGAATAATGACTGTGGTATAAGGCACAAGTGTTAACAAGTACTTCACAGAGTCATAAATTCAGAGCTGGAAGGGACTGCAGAGCCCATTTTAGTCCATCCCCTCAAGGATACTGAAGAACGTGCCTGGCGCTGTTTGGAGTTTGGGTCACGCAAACAATTTATCTCCATCAACCTAATTCAGTCCCTTCCTTCTACATTCAGGCAGAGAGTGCTACAGACGTCCAGTGCTCAGCACTGTGCCTGGCACACTGGAATAGCTTCCCAAATGCTCGAAGGCCCCTCTGAGTCACAGAATTAGAGCCTAAAGAAACCCAGCAACCTTTTGGATTTAAAGCAGAAAGAAATCTCAAACGCCATCGAGTCCAACCTCTCATTCTACAGATAAAGAAGTTGAGGGTTCAGGGACCTTGATGCTAAGGGAGTAAGAGGCAGAATCAGGATTTGAAGCAAGGTCCTCAGACTTGAAATTCAGCGTTCCTTCCACTGTACCAAGCTGTCCTCATGTTACCAGAGAAAGATTAGTGAGCTTGGCAGAAATGGGGCCACAATCACAGGGCAGCATGAGATCATCATGTTCTACAAACAGTCTTTCCCCCCAGAGGAGCTTAGCCCCTATTGCTTGAGGGTGCAACCCTGAGCTCCACACAGAAAAATAACCCATATATGAGGAGTAAACACATGTGCACAAGCTGCAACAAACACTTATAGGGCTTACTTACCTAGGGCTCTACCTAAGGGGGAGAACTGGGGAGCAGGGCCCAGATTTCTGCAAAATTTATAAAAAAAAGTTTTATAACTGTGTTCATCTAGCTCCTGGTTTTGTTCTGGCAGGCAGACTCCCAAATATTTTACAATGTCTAAAGTAACTTTAAGTGGAATTTTTCTTTCTATCTCTTGCTGTTGGGCTTTATTAGTAATATATAGAAATGCCAATGATTTATGCAGGTTTATTTTATATACTGCAACTCTGCTAAATTTATTATTTGAAGTAATTTTTTTTTTGTCTAGGCAATGGGGTTAAGTGACTTGCCCAGGGTCACACAGCTAGTAAGTGTTATGTGTCTGAGGCTGGATTTGAACTCAGGTCCTCCTGAATCAGGGCCAGTGCTCTATCCACTGCGCCACCTAGCTGCCCCCCATTTCAAGTAATTTTTTACTTGTTTCTCTAGGTATACCATCATAAATCTGCAAAGAGTGATAACTTTGTTTCTTCTTGGCCTATTCTAATTCCTTCAATTTCTTTTTCTTCTCTTATTGCTAAAACTAACATTTCTAGTACATACTGAATAACAGTGGTGAAAATGGACATCTTTGTTTCACCCCCAATCTTACTAGAAACACTTCTAGCTTATCCCTATTACACATAATGCTTGCTGATGGTTTTAGATAGATGCTACTTATCAATTTAGGGAAGACTCCGTTTACTCCTATGCTCTCTAGTGCTTCTAACAGAAATGGGTTATAGTTATATTTTATCCAATGCTTTTTCTGCATCTATCAAGATAATCACACGATTTTGGTTAGTTTTGTTGTTGATATGGTCAATTATGCTGATAGTCTTCCTAATGATAAACCAGCCCTGCATTCCTGGTATAAATCCTACCTGGTCACAGTATATTATCCTCAACACACGTTGCTGTAATCTCTTCGCTAACATTTTATTTAACATTTCTTGCATCTATATTCATTACAGAATCTATAATTTTAGGGTCTACAATTTTCTTTCTGTTTTGACTCTTCCTGGTTTAGGTATCAGCACTATTATTTGTATCATAAAAAGAATTTGGTAGGACTCCTGCTTTGCCTATTTTCCCAAATAGTTTATATAGTATTGGAATTAATTATTCTTTAAATGTCTGACAGAATTCACTTTTAAATCCATCTAGCCTTGGAGATTTTTTTTTTTAGGGAGCTAGTCACTGATGGCTTGTTCAATTTATTTTTTTTGAAATGGGGTTAAGTATTTTATTTCCTCTTCCACCAATATGGGCAATTTATATTTTTGTGAATATTCATCCATTTCACTAAGATTATGAAATGTATTGGCATACAGTTGGGCAAAACAGCTCTTAATTATTGTTTTAATTTCCTCTTTCCTCTTTGCTGCTTGTGAATTCACCCTTTATGCCCACACACTACACGGTCACAGCAAGTATATACATTAAAGAAGAGAAGGAAAATTCTCTATTTGTCACTTCACTACCAGCTCACCAGTTAGGAGTTGACTTGTACAGATTTGTACAACAGATTTATCTGGCAATTTCTCAGGCATGAGGACT